CATCGGGCTCCCTGCTCCGCGGGAAGCCTGCTTCTCCCTCTCCCACTCCCCCTGCTTGTGTTCCTGTTCTCACTGTCTCTCTCTCTGTCCAATAAATAAATAAAATCTTAAAAAAAAAAGCGTTCCTGACAGCTTTTTTTTTTTTAAGATTTTAATTTACTTATTTGAGAGGGAGAAGGAGCGTGAGCAGGGGGAGGGGCAGAGGGAGAGGGAGAAGCAGACTCCCCACTGAGCAGGGAGCCCGACACGGGGCTCGATCCCAGGCCCCTGAGATTGTGACCTGAGTCAAAGGCAGATGCTTAACCGCCTGAGCCACGGGGGCGCCCCCCACGGCTTTTTCCAGAGTGTGTAGGCGGGTGAGAGCGTAGGCTGCAGCCTGGGTGGGGGACACATGGCTAGGTGTGCCTTCCTTTCGCCCAAGAACGGTTTGAAACTGCTTGTTTGCAAATCTGCTGGAAAAAAAAAACATGCTCAAAAGCAGTCCAAGCTCCTGGGCTGGCAGCTTCCTCGGTACTGGGCCGTGTTGGGTCATTTGACGAACGTGCTCTGTGTTGTGTGCTGGGAACCAGAGACTGGTAACAGTGGCAGCTCCTGGTCTGTTGCCTTATGGGGTGTCCAGGCATTAACACAGATTCCGTCATTTAGAAGGGAAGAAGCTGGAGGCACAGAGTGCACGCTCCAAGCCGCCGCAGAGGAAGAAAGAGCCACGCACCGTGTGGTTGGTTGGAGATGGAGGGAGGCTGCCTGAGCTCCCGGAGCCCCCCGGCCTGGCCCCGACGAGCTAGGAAGGCAGGGCCAGGGCTGAGCTCCTTGGGGACCAATAGCAGTGCTCACAGAGGCACAGTGTCCAGTGTGCAGGGAGCAGGTGCTGAGATGGGGGCTGGCAGGGTTGGGGCTGGGGAGGTGGCCAGGGGGACAGGAGGGCCCTGGTAGCGGCATGGCATGGGCCCCGAGGGGAGCGATGACCGGGTCAGATCCAGAGACCGTCCAGTGGGGACTGGAGGCCAGCCTCGCAGCTACGGTAGAGCTGGACCGGAAGTGACCGGCACTGGCCACAGTCTGATTTCTCCCACTCAGATCTGGAGCCCCAAGGCCAGCCCAGGCCCGTTGGGTGAGCCTTTCATGAGCATCCTTACCCAGGGCTTGGATCAGGCCCTCTTGAGAGTGGGTGCTCAACCACCAGCCGGGGTTAGAACAGGCAGTTGAACAGAACAGGCTGGTGCTTGCCCGGAAAATGAACCCCATTAGTTTGGGATTATTATCCCCATTTAACAGATAAGGAAACTGGAGGCCTTGCCCAAGATCGCACCGCAGTTCAAGTGAGTAGTTGGGTTAGGAGGTTAACCCAGGATCCCCCCACCTGTCTGCTCACCCAACCCCAGAGCTCATCGGACACAGGCCTCGGGGGCCCTATTTCCACTTGGTGCCCAGGGATTCTGAGAATGTCTGCTGGAGGCCGAGGGATGTTGGGACAAGGGGTCAAGGGGAGGCTCAGAGACCATGTGCCCGAGGAAGTCCCATTGTGGCCCCTCGGGTTTGGTGAGGCAGGGGTTTCCGTGGGATCACACAGCAGCCCCTGGGAAGAGAACAGCCCCTTGCTGGGGTGCGGTGTGGAGGGGAAGAGGGGCCCGGGGGCCCATGCAAAGGAGGGCTGGGACTGCTTTTCCTGGGAAATTGCCATTTGCATAGACACCAAGACCCCTGGGGCCTGGGGGCAGCCGGAGGAGGAGGCTCCAGTCACAGTTCCTTAAATGCTACCCTCCTGCGAGCTCAAGGGCACACGGACCCACAGTGCTCACAACCTATGCAGTGGTAAAATACCTCCTCCATGAAAGTTGGGTCCATCTATCTGGGTCCTTCGTGCCTTTCAGTGGAGTTTTTACGTTTTTCTCCGTAAGTTTGAAAGCATTTTTAAAAATCAGATTTCGTTCCTGACTAAAAGCCTTCCGTGTCTGTAAATACGTGTCTATCTGCTGCTGTATTTTCTAGTTGCCTTGTGGGTATTGATTTTTAAATGTTGATCTGGTATCTGGCAACCTCGAAACTCTTGGTGGTTCTAAAAGGTGATTCTCGGGACACCTGGGTGGCTCAGTCGTTAAGCGTCTGCCTTCGGCTCAGGTCGTGATCCCAGGGTCCAGGGATCGAGCCCTGCATTGGGCTCCCTGCTCAGCGGGGAGCCTGGTCTCCCTCTCCCGCTGCCCCCCCTCCTGCTTGTGCTCTCTCTGTCAAATAGATAAAATCTTTGAAAAAAACAGTACAAAACAAAAGGTGATTCTTTGTTTTCTACATAAAGCCTTACTTCGTGTCTGCTAGAAATCTCTCCTGTCCTACTGAAATGATCACGTTTTCTTTGGCAGCTTGAATGTCTTTTATTCTTCCAGCAGCTTCCTCTAACTTGGCTGAGGCTGTGTCTAAATAGTCAGCTTAGTCGCCTTTTGTGCTGGTGCTGCTGTCCCCCGCCTCCCAGTGTTCTCCTTCTCTTCCTTTCTTTTCTTTTCTTTTCCTTTCTTTTCTTTCCCTTTCCCTTCCTCTTTCCCTTCCCTTTCCTTTCCTTTCCCTTTCTTTTTTTTCCTTTCCTTTCTTTTCTTTTCCTTTCTTTTCTTTCCCTTTCCCTTTCCCTTCCCCTTTCCCTTCCCTTTCCTTTCCTTTCCTTTTCTTTTTTTTCCTTTCCTTTCTTTTCTTTCTTCCTTCTTTCCTTTTTCTTTTTCTTTCTTTCCTTTCTTTTCTTTCTTTCTCTTTTTCTTTCCTTTCTTCTCTTTCCTTCCTTTCTTTCTTTTCTTTTTTTCTTTTCTTTCTTCTTTCTTTCCTTTCTTTCCTTTCTTTCTTTTCTTTCTTTTCCTTCCTTCCTGATTGAATAGGGTGTCAGTGCCAGGGTGTGGCTGGAGGTGGGTCCCCTGGGACTGGGGTCTGCAAGCTCCCTCCTCCCCCCACCCCCGACTACAGAAGGGGCTTCCAACCATACTGGTTTTGTGATCTAGCTTTTTTCAAAAGGATTGTCGAAGAACTTTACATTGTAGAGGGATCGAGATTCACCGCATAGCTTTTCTTTTTTTTATGTAAGCTCTAGGCCCAAAACGGGGGTTGAACTCAACGACTCCGTGATCAAGAGCCGCATGTTCTACCGACTGAGCCAGCCAGGCGCCCCCACGCCTCATAGCTTTTAACTGCTGCCTAGCGTTCCCTGGACGGATGTAGAAGGATTATGCGCTCAGAGCTGTGCCCGTGGTGCTATTAAGTTGCTATCAGCATTTTAGGGTTTTTAGAAATGCCACGTGATCCCCCCTGTCGGGTTCAGGTTTGCACTGGCGGATGGTTTTTGGGGGGGGGGGGCGGTTGTCACTGGGTCTCAGGCCTGCAGGTGCCCTCAGCAGGTGGTAGCACCCTCCCTCCACCACCAGGACCCCGCAGGGGAAGGTGCTGTCCTGACAGGTGCGGGCAGCATATGTCAGGCCATGGGCCCTTTGTGGCTGTTGTCGCTCTGTTTACATGTCGGATCTCTCCAGCCCTCACCCCTGCTAGAGCTGGCTTTCAAGCTGGGCTTTCATCTGGAACAGACCCGAGCCTCTACTGGCTTTCCCTTAGGAAACTGAAACAGCCCTCTTGAGACAAATTCTGGGCACATACTCTCTCTAGAACAATGCTGTTCTTCTGTGGTGTCCTTTCTCAAAGGCCCCAGACCCTCAAATACCTGTCTGTGCCCTTGGACGTCTCAGTGTGTCCATCTCCTCAACCGTGTTTTGGATGCACTGTTGAGAATATCTTGTCTAGACTCGTCCCGAGACACCTGGAGGGTGCACACTTACTCTGTGCCCTGGCTTTGTGTCTCCAGTCACCACCCTTTAATGCTGAGAGTAAGTCGTGCGCACTCTTGCCTAGACTCTGTGTCCCCGGTGGGCGCCCGTGCATGTCCTGCCGACTGTTGATCCACCTCAGGGACGAACGCTGTCCACCCTGGCCGGGGGGAGCAGGGAGACTCAGCTCTGTCCCTTCTTGGCTTAATCGTGAACTTTTCCAAGTGTCTCTCTTAATGAATATCTACCTTGAAGGTTGGGGGTCCAAGGTAACGAGAGGGTTCTATCCACTCAGAACAGGCTAATGTGAAGAATTACAGAATTAAAAAAAAATTTTTTATTGTTAATGTTAATCCCCATACATTACATCATTAGTTTTAGATGAAGTGTTCCATGATTCATTGTTTGTGCATAACACCCAGTGCTCCACGCAGAACGTGCCCTCTTTAATACCCATCACCAGGCTAACCCATCCTCCCACCCCCCTCCCCAAGAATTACAGAATTTTTAAGAACCCGGGACATTCTTGTCAGACAGTGGGTTGAAGTGCCGAGGTCCCTCAGCATCACACAGCTACAAAGTGACAGAGCTGGGATTTGAGCTCAGGTCTGTTGGTTCCATGTTCTTCACCATTATTCCGGCCCTAAGGCTGTTTAGTATGGTGTGGGGTAAATTGTGGTGAACGGGGTCACGGAATCCTACCCAGCTATCTCGGGAGGATGTAAACACTTCCAATGTTGGAATCCACTGTTGTCATAGGAGGGCTTTTGGCTGCAAGGAACTGGGAACTCGGTGAATTGTGATTTGAACGAGTTGGGTTTTATTTTTCTTACACAGTTGGGGTGGCTATGGCTTGTATTTGGCAAGCGTTCGAGAATGCCATCAGAGAGCCAGGCTCGTGCCTCTCTCCTCTGCATTCATGGCGTGTTGGTTAGCCCTGTGTTGAGCACCTTGGTGTCATAAAGTGGCTGCTGCAGCTCCAGCCTTCCCTCCTGTGTCGAAGGCAGCAAGGCAGGGGAGAGGAGCTGCCCTGGCTGAGGCTGCTCCCTTTCAACCCCCCCGTGTCGGACCTCGGAGACCTCATCGCCCAGAACCGGCTTGCATGCCCACCACCAGCTGCAAGGCATGCTGGGAAAGTGAGGAGCGGGAGAGCCACGGTCGGCTTTGATGCACAAGGGCTCAGTCTGTGTCTTTCGCCCCCAGAGAAGAAATGTCCCACCCAGGACCCCTCTCCAGGAACCTCTCTTGGAACACCTTCCTGCGGGAGCATGGCCCAGAAGTGCCGGAGGTTCCGGGCATGACTGACCTCGTGGAGTACTATGATCCGGGGCCCTCCCCTGACAGGTAGGTCCCAGGAACAGCGCGGGCCCCACCCACTCCATTTCTGGCCCGTGACCTCCAGGGTCCGCTTAGAAGAGCAGGCCCTCTGGGCTCCGCAGGCAGGCCTCCAGGGCGGAAAGTCCCCAGGTGTGGTCCTGGAGGCTTGTGCCCCGGGCGCGGCCGCTTCGCTCTGATGTCATCCCACAGAGGCCCTGGGCGTCCAGCACATTCCCAGGATGGACTTAAACCTGTGGCTTTAGGACCGGGTGTCTCCTGGCCCTCACTGACCATGATCACCTCATCAAGGCCTCTTGATGAGATGGTTCTGATTTAGGAAATCAGAAGTAGCCCGAGGAAGCCCCTTCGCACAGAACGCCTGGCTGGGGCTGCCGGGGCAGTGAAGAGGGGATCTTCCCGGGACCGGCCCCAGGGTTCCAGGTGCTTCCCTTCTGCTTCAGGCCTCAGGATTCTTAGTCATTAGGTCATTAGCCCTGGGCGTTGGGGCTGGCTGGGATTTTAGAGCTGGAGGGACCTGAAAATCTGCCTCTTGCCCTGTCCCTGCTCCACTTGGAGAGGACAATAGGGGACGGTCAGCCTGGGGCAGTGTTTTCCTGAGGTCCCAGGGGGTATTGGGATAGAGGTGGGACCTCAACCCCCCACCTGGACTGCCAGCCAGACCTCCCCAGCCTCCCATCTGGGCTTCCGGCACCCCTCAAATAGAGAGCATGGACCCCAGGGAGACTGGGCAGGTGGCTGGGGCTGAGCTGGAGGCCACCGGGAGGCCTGTCTGCTTGGAAATTCCCGGATGGAATGTGGGCAAACCCCTGAGAGCAGGGCTGAAGCCAGCCCGGAGGGAGGGGCGGGTGTTGGACCTGGAGCTCAGGAGCGAGTGCCTCGGCCTCCTTCCATCCAGGACTCGGGTCAGTGAGTGGCGGGCGCTGGCCAGGCCCTCCTTTCTGAAAGGGGTGATGACAGCAGGTGGGTTCAGGATTGGGGAGCAGGGAACAGGTCCTAGAATCTAACCCAAGGAGGAGGGTAAATCTAGACTCTGTGGGAAGCCAGTCCCAGATCCGGGGGGTTCAGGAGCCCCAACCTGCCCAACCCCACTGCCCACCTTTCCCGGTGAACCCCCCGGTGGGTGGCCTCTCCCGGAAGCCTCCAGCCTTCAGTCTTCCTTGGAGGGGAGGGGAAGGCTGTAACAGGGAGGCCAGCCTGCTGTTCACATGAGCCTTAAATGTCTTTGCCCTCCCACAGGAGGGGCCCGCACTGCAGGGAACCCACCCGGGGATGGGACCTCGCTGGTCTTTTCTGAACCAAAGTGGGAGCCAGAGGAGGGGTGTGCGAAGGTTCCCACCTCGCTCTGTGTCACCACTTGCCTCCCAGAAACCTGGGGCCCAATTGGCCAGGTTGGCCTGAGTATGTGGGGGTCACCGCACAGCCACACCCCTAATTGCCCGTGCCCTCCCCACAGCACCAACCCTGACGATGTGGCCATGCGGCTGGCCTTCATCGGGGACGAGATGGAAGTGAGATGGATGCTCCCCCGCATTGGCGAGCTGCCCGGGATGGCCATGTACAGGTGGGCGGCCCCCCAGGCCCTGGGAGGAGACAGCTCGCCTCCCAGGCAGCTGTGCATCCCCCCGCTAGGAGTCCCCAGCCCCTGCACCTGGGCAACAAGGCAGAACCCAAGTGCCTTTCTCTGCTGCTTCATCAAGCCAAGAGCGAACTTTCCCAAGAGGGTCTTGACTTAAAATGCTGACAGGAAATGGTGAGCTCGGCGGAGCTGTGTGTCCTGCTTGGAGGCCTCTGTCCTGAGTACGCTGTACTTTTCATGGTTTGCCGGCATTTCTGTGGGTTCTCAGATGCTCCCAGAATTTCTCAAGGTGGGGGATGTAAAACCTTTACCCTAGAGACCACAGCGATTGTGGTCTCTTGGTCCCCAGAGCGACAGCCTTCTGTTGGGGTGCCCAGGCCTCTGTCAGACCAAAGATCCTCTGGAGGGACGACCTGCCTCCGTGGGCCTGTGGGCGGTGGAAGGAAACAGGAAATCAGATGAATTTGGGACCAGAAATGGCCCATGGAGAGAGACCCTCACTGACGGAGCCACCAGAGAAGGGGGCTAGAGTGGCACTGGGTAGGAGGGGACACGGCCCTCCTCTCCCCACGGGGGTCCCCTAAAGTAAAGGCCACCCCTGCCCCTGTTCCTGCAGTAATGGCCCTGCTGCCCCTCCCCTCTGTCTTACAGCTTGGCTTTTACCTACAACCAGACAGGCCTGAGAGGTGTTCTTAGAAGTTTCATGGATGGTCTCAGTAACCTCAGGGAGAGCATACGCATCTGGAGCTTCCTGACCTTCCGGAACAGGGTAAATAAACCTTGAGATGTCGTGACCTTGCCTTACCCCCCTGCACATGGTAACTGCAGCTACGGAGCAGCCCCCCCATAGGGCGTAGCCTGTGGATGCCGCAGACCCCACCACTCCCTGTTGTCTTGCCTTGCCTGCTTCCCCGCTTCTCCTGGTCTTTGGCTTTGAGACCCCTGGTTTATGGACTCCAAGCTTGAAATCTTGCATGTGTTTGCCTGCCTGCACGCCTGTGCTCATGCTCTTCCGTCCGCCAGGAGTGCCTTCCTCTGGCGGACGTGCCCGCTCTGCCCTCCTCTGCCCAGCAGGTGACTCTTCTCCTGACCGCTCCTCCTTCCTCCCTCCATCGGCCCTGGGGAGGGTCCCTCACGCTGGCTCATCCTCCCACCTGTCCCCAGCCGACTGGCAGCTTCTCCTCCTCTCTCGGTCGTGTCCTCAGCTGTTTCCCCACCGCGCGTGTGCCCGTCTTCCTGGTTTTTGTCCCAGACCGGTCCCGTGTGCAGATGCTCCCGTGTCCCCCACCTTCCCTGCCGCGTTCTTCACCCCCGCTCTCGGCCGCGCAGGCTCTCCCCTGTGTCCACAGGCATAGGAGGCTCTGCAGACGGAGCGCGCCCGGCTGGAGGGCCTCACCTGTCCCCCCCTTCGTCCCACAGGTGCCCCCCAACCCAGGGCGCGGGCTGGTGCTGTCCCTGCTGCTGCTGCTGGTGCTGCTGCTAGGCTGGGGGCCCCAGCTCCAGTGACCCAGCCGCTGCGGGGGTGGGGGCGGGGCTGGCCCCCCGACCTCCACCCTGGAGGTGGCCTTGTTGGTTTTGTTGTCTTTTTAACTGTTTTCTGATGATCCCTTTTTTATATTTAAACTCTGAGTGCTGGGACACTACTGAGGTTTCATACTAGTTTTTTTCTTTCCCTTTTTGTAAGAGAAATGAATTCATTATACCTCTGGGGTCGTTACTGGTTAACTGCCCGTGGGCCTGCTCTCCTGGCCCCAACCCACCATTGTGGTGGCCTGTCCCAGGAAGGAGGGGGTCTTGGGGGGGGGGGGGAGTGCTGGCCACACCCCCGTGTCTGTGATGGCCGGGACAAAGAGAGAATCTGCTGGAAGAGATTCTGAGGGGTGAGGAGAGCTCAATAAAATGTTGGTTTCCAGCTGGTCTCTGGTCCTCTCTGGGGGTTTGCCGCGTGGGCTCCATCTTGCCCCTGGAGGCAGAATCAAGGGGGAGCGGAGAGTAAGGGCGGGGCGTGGGCCTAGCCACCTGTGCGTGACCACACACCTGCAAGCCCTTTCCTGCACCTGCTGTCATGAAGTTTGGCCCAACACAATCAGGTTTACTCCTGCTCTTGTCATGCCTGGTGCCTGTAATCTACCATTAGGGATTATTTCCTTTGGCCTGTCAGTCTCTTATAATTGGGCTGCCTGCCCTCCCCACATGGGCTCATCCAGCGCTCCCTGCTGGAGCAGTGCAGCCTGTGGGGCTACCCATATAGGTGTGCTGGGGAGAAGGGGCTGGACTAGGGGCACCCACCATGTGGGCTCAGCCTGCCGCAGTCCTGGGCCTAGTTCTGTTTCCAGACCGTGTTAGGCGCGCTCTCCAGAACTTGAGCTCTGACTCCACCCCCCACCACCCCCCGCTCCACAGTCCCCGCTATCTCAAATGCCAAACCTGGGCTGGGGTGAGCCCCCCATCTTCTGCAGCCTCCTCTTCCTGTCCCCTTCAGGTCCTGGATTTGGAGAGCCTTCCTTGCACCCTCATGACTGAAGGGACCCTCCCAGCCACCACCGGGCTTTCTGTGTCACAGCTCTCCAGGGTCTGGCCCTTCACAGCCTGACTTCCCACCTCCTTTCCTGTAAATGGTCCCCTGGGGCTATGTCAGGCCCTCCCAAAACCTCACAGGCAAGCCCAGAGTCTGCCAATTCCCAGGTCCTTGCTGGGAATGTTCCATCCTGACATCCTGCTCCACCCAAAGGACACTCCACCCCTGGACAGATACACACCAAGTTCATAGACCTGGAAGTGACCCAGGGCTTTCCCTGTGTAGCTGCATTGACCCCGGGGCCCTGCGGATCCACTGGAGAATCAGTTAACTAGGGATGTGGCGAGGCCAAACCCAGAGGCACCTCTTCTAGGAAGTGGTGCCTAACCACCTAGCACCAGCTTGCTCCTAAGCTCTTGGGACAAAACTGCCCCCCCAGCCGTGTACCCACCTGAGAGGTTCCATGTGGCCAGGGCTGCCTTGTAGCTTCCCGAGGAGCTTGGGCTTCTTCAGAGAGAGGAGGGAGTGCAAATGGCTGTTTGTGGAGCCCCCAGGTGCAGCCAACGCAGTGGCTCTTCCCTGCAGGGATTTGGGGACCCCTTCCCCAGGTGTTCTAGCGTTTGCAACATTCTTCCCACCCATGGATGTCAGCGGAGCCCCTACTGCGCTAGGCTTGGGCACGGGTTCTGGGGTTGTGGTGAAGACATGGTCCCTCAAATCACACATTCTCTTTAAAAAGCACACAAAGACGCTAAGGATTGGGGCTGTGTTTGAGGGCAATAAAGGACTGAAAATGGGGCTGGGGTGGATGAGACCCAGAAGATACTGGCTGTGGAGAAAACGAAGGCGTCACCCAGCAAGGAGGAGCAGCACATACAAAGGCCCTGGGGTGGCTTGGGCCGGTGTCTGACTTGCTGTCTCGTCAGTTCATGCCAACCCTAGGGCCGAGAGGAGCTTGCCACAGCTTCTGCACCCCCACACGAAGTGGATGCGGCTGCATCTGGAGCCGGCATTTTCACTCGTCTGCTCAAGACAGCCCAGCCTACAAGTGGGAAACTGAGGCCCAGAGAAGGAAGGGGCTTGACCAGAGTGGCACTGGGATCCTCTGATCCCAACCAGATTGGGGTCTTTGCCCATTGATGCCGTCTAGTCCAGCCTGCAGGGGGTGCTGAGACGCTGAGGCCCAGATGAGGAAGGGGTGATGGTCAAACCCAGTCTGGCTGATCCATGTGGCAACTTCCACAAGTTGCAAACAGATGCTTAGCAACAGTGATACCAGAAATCACTTGGCCAACCCCAAAAAGGAAGGACTGGAGGCCTCGCCCTACTAGGAAGGGGGGCAGGGGTGACATGGTTACCCTTCGGCCTCACGATCCCTAGAGAATCGCCCCACAATGCTCCCATCTCCTGGGGCCCCTCTGCAGCGGGTCCCAGGGCCACTGCCACAGGGTGGACACAGACTGCTATTCCATGGGGGGCCTGGGGTGGAGGCCCCTGGAAACAGTGAAGCACCTTCCCAGAGGAGGTGACAAGGCTGCAGGGGTGTGAGGGGCCCCGTCATCTTTGCTGTTTCTGAGGCTTTTGGTCAAGGCCCTTGGTCCAGTCAAGATTTCTGGGGATGAGGCAAGATCTGATTCTCTTAGAACGTGCCCAGGGAAACCTGTTCCTGCCAGGCAGGGAAGCAGCTCCCAATTCCAGGAGGACCGAGGGAGGCAAGCTGCTGGAAAGAGAAACGAGGAACAGGCCCAGTGTCTCCATGGGCACGGGACACAAACGTGGTGGCAGGTGTGCCCACCTCGGGGCCAGCACCATGGGGCCAACGATGGCACGCGGTGTTCTCAAGGGGGCGCACACTGGCCCAGATCCTGCCAAGGAGCAGGATGTAGGATCCACCACAGCCCCTCAGGCCCTCACCCCAGACCCTGAGCTCCCCCCCAGAACTCCCCTCCCCACCCTATGCTTCTGTCACTCATCCAGACTCAAAGTCTGCAGGGGTGGGGCGGGGCAAGGGCCCATCCACCCAGCCCAGGGCTCCCGTCGTGGAGGTGAGCACTGCCTGCCCACACCTTTGGGTTCCCCCTACTGGGCAGCCCCTGCAGTGTAGCCAGAGACTTTGCCAGTTTTCTGGAACCTTCTTTTTTTTTTTTTTTTTTAAGATTTTATTTATTTGAGAGAGAGAGAATGAGAGACAGAGAGCACGAGAGGGAGGAGGGTCAGAGGGAGAAGCAGACCCCCTGCTGAGCAGGGAGCCAGATGCGGGACTCGATCCCGGGACTCCAGGATCATGACCTGAGCCGAAGGCAGTCGCTTAACCAACTGAGCCACCCAGGCGCCCCTCTGGAACCTTCTTAAGGCAGCACCATATGCCCTTTGAATGCTGTTCCTTCTCCCTCCTGTGGCTTGGAGTCTGGCTGGATCCTGAGGAAAAGGGCCGTGCCCAGAGAAGCAGGAAGGCCTGCCATGCGGGAACACTCCCCCTCCGCCGCTTCTCCAGCTCCCTTACGTGGGACTGTGCTCCTCAGAGCGGAGTGTAACCGCCCCCCCTCCCTGCCTGCAGCACCCCCAGAGAACGCAGGCCTGGCCTGGCCGGTCTCCCAGGGCGGCCGCCACCACAGCGCTCGGGGGAGGGTTCGGACAGACTCCGCACTCTTTAAAAGTAACAGCAAGTTTCGGGCAACCCTCTCGGGTCCCCTCCCTCTTTGGGAGCTTTGTACTATTGCTCCATGAACTTTGCTGCCCACCAAAAATAGTAACAGCAAGGTTCTTTGTGAATGTTTGAAAATTTCTAAGATGGGAGTTTTAAGAGATCCTCACTGAACTCCAGAGAACACTCAAACTCCAGCGGTGGGGAAGATGGGGTTCCGTGGTCCTCTTCGCAGGGGCTCTCGGCCAGTGCTGCGGACACACGTGGGTACGTGCGGGTCACCAGGTCTAGAAGGGTCACTGGTACAGAGCGGCCGGGAGCCAGGACAGCAGCCCACATCATGAGCCAGTTCTGCCCAGAGGCTGACGGGGCCCCTGCCGAGAAACCCTGCGGAATTAAAAACGAGAAACCTACCCGGGATTTGACAGGTGTCTACACAGACATTTACAGACAAATGCAGAGATCCCGTATCTGGATGGGTTTCCCACTATCACCGATGAAGGAAAAAGCCACCGAGGAGCTTAGAATGACTCCTATTTAGTATCAGCGCAGGAGCGGCGTCCACCGAGAGCCTGCGCTCTGCTACGGTGTGGAGGGGGCAGGGAAGCGCTAGGGGGGTGGCCTGTGCCAAGGGAGGTCACGGACACAGAGCAGACACTTAGCGATCACTGTCTGCAGGGCTGCCTGGGGGCGGGGGAGGAAACAGGGCCCTCAGCCGGCCTCCCCAGACCCTTCCCGCCTGGCTACGGACTCTCTTCCCCACCAGGGCAGAGGCCGCTTGCTTACGGGTAGACAGCAGGTGCTCAATACCATCTGTTGGGTAGATAAACAAATGTGGGACTGAGTCTCCCAACTATGGAGAGTGGGGTGCACAGGATGGCTGCCCAGGCCGGTTGTGTCTGAAAGCCCTTTGCTTTCCGTGATGAAAGGGCTGAGATTCTGGCCGTGGGTGGAGTGACAGGCCACAGGCCGCAGAGGAGCCACCAGAGCCCAGGGGTGTGAGGTCTGCCTCCGGGCAGACTCTTCTGGCCTAGCTGCAGCTTTCCCCCCGGCCTTGGAATAGACCTGGGGGAGAAACGGACCTTGGCAGGTCAAGAAATACTCACGTCTAGTGCTTTTTATGTGGCCTTCAAACCACTTTGCAAACACTGCCTCCCAATCACTTGGAGGAGGAGGCCTAGGGACAGGCAGGGCAGGTCCAGGCCCGCTGCAGCCCCTCCTGGGTCCCCTTCTGCCTCCCAAGCTGCGCCCCCGCCGCCCCGGGCACCAGGAGATCCGCCGGGGGGCCTGGTCTAAGTCCCGTCGTCCTCCAGCACCTCCACGTGCCTGTAGGACTTCCAAGCCTGCAGGTTACAGCTCTTCAGGATGGTTCCGAGCTGATTCCCAGGGCCCACTTCAAAAGTCTGGGGGAACTCCGTGCCTTTCTTCCTCTCATATATGGCATGCATCGTCTGCTCCCACTTCACCGGGGAGACCACCTGCCGCACCAGCAGTTTCTGGATGTGTTTGGGATGCATGTATCTATTCCCATCGACGTTCGAGTGGACGGAAACCAGAGGCTTCTTGACGCCAATCGACTTCAGAACTTGTGCCAGGGGCTCTAAGGCCGGCTCCATGAGGCGGGTATGGAACCCCCCGCTAACGGGCAGCATCTTGGTGCGTCTGAAGTGATACTTGGAGGAATTCTTCTGGAGGAACTGCAGCGCCTGGACGAAAAAGGGAGGAATTTAAGCCAAGGACATCTTAGGGGAAGAAACAGTGAGGCGGCCAGCACTGGTACATAGGAATGCCTCATCCTGCAGACAGTTGTGAGGACAGGCTTACTTCACCTCTTCATGCCAGTACAGATCAGTCGTGCACGCGGTGACCCCGAAGTCCTCCTCTGGGGCTGTGACCACTCACACAGCCCTGCTGGGCAGGCAGCCACGGTGGGGCTGAAAGAGATCGAGGCTGGGGAGCGTGGTCCACCCCAGCGCCTCATTCACTGGCCTGGGGGCGCCGGGCAGATCACTCAACCTCTCAACTTCTGTCATCCACAAACTGAGCACAATTTCAGCTGCTTCAGAAGGTTGCCGGGAGGCGACCAGACAGGAGGTGTGAAAGGGCCTGACAACACGAGAACGCACTACCTAGTGCGAGTTTGCAAGTATAAGCCGGCTACCCTTCACAGTTTTTAATAAGCCCGTCTTCCTATTACTCCATAACCCTCAAGATAAAAATTCCGGGGGCGCCTGGGCGGCTCAGTCATTGGGCGTCTGCCTTCGGCTTAGGTCATGGTCCCAGGGTCCTGGGATCGAGTCCCGCATCGGGCTCCCTGCTCAGCGGGAAGCCTGCTTCTCCCTCTCCCACTCCCCCTGCTTGTGTTCCCTCTCTTGTTGTGTCTGTCAAATAAATAAATAAATCTTAAAAATAAATAAACAGGGGCGCCTGGGTGGCTCAGTCATTCAGCGTCTGCCTTCCGCTCAGGTCATGATCACAGGGTCCTGGGATCGAGCCCCGCGTCGGGCTCCCTGCTCCGCGGGAGGCCTGCTTCTCCCTCTCCCACTCCCCCTGCTTGTGTTCCCTCTCTCGCTGTGTCTCTCTCTGTCAAATAAATAAATAAAATCTTTAAAAAATAAAATAAAAAATAAAAACAGTAGATATTCTTAAGAGACCCTAGGCCTCAGGACACAGCCCGGGGCCTGCCACCCTGATGGTCCTCCCCTGGGCTCTGCCGAAGGGCTTCCTGTGTGCTAAACTGTCACCGGTCTCTCCGGCCCCATCTCTGGCCTGCCACCATCCTGCCACCATCTGTCCTGGGCTGGGAGTCTGCCGGCGTCCCACATAGGCTGCTGCAGCAGCCTGAGCGCTGGCGAGAGCCAAGTGCAGCCGAGCTCAGCACAGCGAAGCAAACTGTGACGGAAGTGGGACCCCAGCTGTGGGAAGCACTGAGGGGCCCGGCTGCCTGTCACTGCAGCAGGGTCCAGCCTGTCCTGGAGCCACTGTCCTCCAGCCCCATCTCACTGAGGGGCACCCAGGAGCCCCCCTGCACACCGGCCTTCTGGACCCTTCCCGCCGAGCCTGGGCTGTCTGGTCAGTGGCGTCTGCACGGATAGCTACTCATTTCAGCATCTCACAGTGCTTTCCACGTAAGGCCTCTGGACTCATCCAGCTCGCGTCCCAGGCTGGGGCCACAGGAGTCAAGGCCACAGCCTCAGGGCCCAGGAGGCAGAGGCCAAGGGGTTTTTGTCCATCAGTGGTTGCAAACGGACTCGCCTGCTCAGGAAAGCCCTGCCCTTACCTGAGCTCTTTCCTTTGGCACCAAAAGGCTAACGCCGGGAATCTGAGGAGTCGTCAGCCCGCGTACCCAACTGTCTGGGAGCTGCGCAAGGAGACGCCAGCCCTGGTTTGGGGCCCCTCCCCACCCACTTCGGGGCCGTTCCAAGGCTGTTAATGGGAACGAGCAACCAGTTCCACGATCCACGTGGGGCCACTGTCACCCATCCTATGCCCTTAGAACTGTCACAGGAGAGACTCTCGCTGGTTCCGAGGAGATTCACAGACTCCTGGCATACCGTCAAGGCCTCTTGGGGGACGGCTGACTGAGCGCAGTCGAGTGGAGGAAGAAGGTTCCAGAATGAGACAGACTGGCGCTCCGTTCTGCCTCCACCATCCCTAAGCACTGGCCTCTCCCTCTGCCTCAGCTTCCTCGTGTGTTAAGCACGCGGAGGACTCCCTTCTGGGGAACACAGGCTGGCTGCAAGGCCTACACGACACGAGTTGTGTAGACACGGGCCCTGCAGCTGCAGCCCCTGTGTGGGATCCGGCGTGGACTCAGCAACCCGGGGCCAGGCCCTCGGTGCCCAGCTGCACTTTGCCATCGGCTGCTCGCTGCCTCCCTGCTGGGGACACCCTCTTCCCGGCAAATGTACCCCCCACGCACCGCTCCTGGTGTCACCTCCTCAGGCCTCCTGAGAGCCAGCCTGACCCTTACTGTGCCCCGAACCCGCAGTCACCCGTTCCCGGCTTATCAGTCCAGGTACCTACCCTCAGTCCTTGTTACAGAGGAGCTGCTTGAGAAATGTCTAGGGAAGCAGTGAATGGAAGGAAGGACAGAAGGAAAAGAAAATGAACTTGGGGTAAAAACAGATACCTAAAAGGCACAGTGGGGCGGAGTAACCTAGCAGGAATGGCTTCTCCTCTCGCTAAGGAAGCAACCAGATCAGAGGTGAGAACCCCAGAATTTACTACAGGAAGGCTCTGGGGATCATCTGGTCCAACCCCTTTACCTAGGTGGGCTAGGTGATTTGCTCAAGGTCCTCGTTATGCATGGTGGAGTGGGGACAGCATCCCAGCCTCTTGCCTCCCTCTGCAGTGCTCACGCCACCTCCCGCCCGCTGCCCTGTCACCCTGCCCCCCCGCTTGCCCTCAAATACTTCCCAGAGACCATGGCTTGGCAGAGCACCCATCACACCATCGTGGGCCTCCCTAGTGTGGGTGGGACAATTCTAACCTTCTGTATGGGCTGGAGTCTAGGAAGGCTGTTCCCATCAGTACCAACCTCCAGGTGTCCTGAGATCACCCTGCAATCAGGAAAGAGGTAGTTGGCCACCTCACACACGGGGTTCTCTATGCCCAAAGTCTTGCAGTGTTCCCGGGCTTCTAAACAGGCGAAGGTGAACTTGGACTGAGGCTGGCCGAGGACAGACAACATCCCGCTGGGGACAGCTTCCGAGGCTTCCTGCATGGCCTCTGCTCGGACTTTCACCGCATACAAACCTATCCAAAGAGAAGCGCATTTGGAACGATCAGGGCACGTGATGAAGGGGGAAGCCCAGACCTGTGAGACAAAGCACGAGTTCACCCAGCATGTTGGAGACGCTGATACTGGTAGTTAGCAGCAGTCCCCAAGGCCACAGTTCTTCGTATCTCTATCTACTACACAGAGATGGCACCACCATCATGAGAGAGCTGGGTGCTGTCCTTGGCACCATACAAACGAAACCACGGAGCTCCCAGCCTTAAAGCTGGCTTGCTGTAGGATGCAGTTCTTAACCAGGGGTGGTTTTGCCTTGGGGCAGGGTCTGGGGACACTTGTGATTGTCACAACAGTGGAGTGTGCATGTGGGGGGCGTACGCGCGCATGTTACTGGCATCTGGTGGGCAGAAGTCAGGGATCCTGCTCCACATCCTACAATGCACGGCCCCACCCAAATCAAGTTGTTATCTGGTCCAAAACGTCCACAGTGCTGCTGGTGAGAAACCCTGGTGCAGGGAGCAAGTGCAAAGGAGCAGACTTGGAGCTACATACACTGTTTGGGGCAAGTCATGACCTTTCAGGTTCAAATTTTCAGTTAGTAAAATGAGGATAATACTATCTCATCTGCCTGGATTGTTGCGACAACTGCGCATCAGAATTTCAATAACAGGATTCTCATAAATCAAGTTTAGTGCCCTCACTTGGAGCTGGAGAAGCTGACACTGCCAAGACAAATGAAGCTCCTGGTTGAGGGCGGCTCAAGTTCAAGGTGAGAGGACAGGCAGGCAGCCCGTGATCATGATGTAAGAACGGCCTGTGACGACTGGACATCCGTCACCCTGGTCCTGGGTCTGCTCCCTGGGGGAGGGGATGACCGGACCAAGGAGAGGTTAAGGGACTAGTCCAGGGTTTCCTGGGACCACAGAGAGGGTCTGAGGAGCACACCCTGCACCCTTCCTAGCACATCTTCCTTCCCTCAGCACCTACATACGTCTGTACTGGACTGTTGGCCCCTTACACAGGTAGGGAGCAGACTGTGGAGCAAATACAATGAGAGCCTGAGGTAGCAAGTAGCAAAGAACCCACAGGAAAGTGGAGAGGGCATGTGGAAGTCCTCCCACGCAGGTATTAAAGAACTATGCAAAACGTCAAGTGAAAAAACACAGGATATACATAGGCCATAACTCTGCAAATTATGTGCACAGAAAACCTATGCGTGTATAAAATAGTTTTATTAGGGGTGCCTGGGTGGCTCAGTTGTTAGGTGTCTGCCTTTGGTTCAGGTCATGATCCCAGGGTCCTGGGATAGAGCCCCGCATTGGGCTCCCTGCTCCGTGGGAGGCCTGCTTTTCCCTCTCCCACTCCCCCTGCTTGTGTTCCCTCTCTCACCATGTCTCTCTCTGACAAATAAATAAATAAAATCTTAAAAAAAAAATAAAAGTCTTGGGGCGCCTGGGTGGCTCAGTTGGTTAAGCGACTGCCTTCGGCTCAGGTCATGATCCTGGAGTCCCTGGATCGAGTCCCGCATCGGGCTCCCTGCTTGGCAGGGAGTCTGCTTCGCCCTCTGACCCTATCCCCTCTCATGTGTTCTTTCTCTCTCATTCTCTCTCTCAAATAAATAAAATCTTAAAAAAAAAAATAAATAAAAATAAAAAATAAAAGTCTTATTAGAAGGTGTGAATATGCAACATTTTTTATCGTTTCCTTAACTGTGCTATAATGCTGTTTCTTAAAACACTGAAGTAAAAGTCACATAAAATATAACGAGTTTCAAGTGTTTAGTTCAGTGGTATGTTGTGCAACCACCAGCTCGCTCTAGTTTCAAAACTTTCTATCCCTCCATAAAATACCCCGTATCTGCCAAGTAATCACTCCCCATTTCTCCTTTCCTCTGGCCTCTGCCCCCATAATCTCTAATCTGTTGTCTCTGTAGATTTGCATATTCTGGACATTTCACATAAAAGGGATCGCTTCTTTCAATGAGCATGCTTTTGAGGCTCATCCATGTTGTAGCATGTATCAGCACTTTCTCCCTTGTTATGGCTGAAGAATATTCCATTGCATGGACAGAGTGCAATTTGTTTATCCACTCATCTGATGAGAGACATCTAGATTGTTTCCATCTTTGGGCTATTCTGAATAATGCTATTATGAACATTTGTGTACAGGTTTTTCTGCGTGGACATAGGTTGTCATTTCTTAGGTATATACCTACAGGCAGAACCACTGGGCCATACGGTAATTCTATGCATAATGTCTTGAGGAACTGTCAAACTGTTTTCCACAGCTGCACCATTTTACATTTCTCACCAGCCATGTCTGAGGGTCCTATTCGTTCACATTCTTGCCAACACTTATTATTTTTAATTTTCAAAATTTTATTATTTTATTATATATTTTTAAATTGAAATCATCCTAGTAGGTATAAGGTGGTATCTCAGTGTGGTTTTGATTTGCACGTCCTTAATCATCAGTGATGTTGAACATCTTTTCACCTGCCTGTTGGCCGTTTCTATTTATCTTCTTTAGAGAAAGGTCTGTTCACATCCTTTGCCCATATTTAACTATAAACAAAACAGTTTAATGGGCTTCACTATGAGCAAAAATCTTAAGTGAAACTGATATGCTCAAGATCGAACACTTACTCCTTTTCATTCCACGACTATCTATTGGCCATCTATCACGTGACAGGCACTGGCGGTGTGGGAGTGGACTGAGAGCACCCAGGACAGCGCGGGGGACAGTCAAGCAAACAGAGCTCAGGAGATTACAAAAAAGAAAGAAAATCTTCAGGATTAAAAGGGAATCAAGGTGAAATCTGGTCCTTGGGTCCCAATGTCATTCTCATCCATGTGCTTCCTTATCACCCGAGTCGCTCCAGAATTATTTTTGGCAGTGTCCTCGATCCCCAGTGAGCCCAGCAAGAGAACACCCCGGCACAAAACCAAACCCCTTCCTGTGTACCTTCAGAAAATTCCATGGCTCCAGCAAACACTAGGGCTGCAAATTCTCCCACACTGAATCCGGCAGCAGCAACACAGTTTTCAATAACCTGTGGTGACAGATGCGGGACATGAGGCCGAGGTCTCAGGAGGGGTTCAGCCCAGGGCTCTGCACTGAGAGCCGGCAGGGTGTTCAGAGGCTCAAGGAATCAGGAGCCACTGGCCTGATGCTCTGGCTAGAAGAGTACACACAGACGTGGCCTTGACAAGCCCTGAACCAGCCCTTTTACTGATGAGGAACTTCCCTGGCAAGACAAGTTAAAGCCTGCTGGCTGACTCTGGTGAAGCCGTGACTCCAACCCAGGGCTCTGGATCCTCCTGCCTCTCTGCCCTGGAGATGCCTTAGGCCGAGGGAGACGGAGGGAGCTACGCAGAGAAGAGAGTGACTCAGTCACAGAGGGCTGGATTGGATTCTTAGCCTAGGAGAGTTCCCTAACTTCTCCCGAGCCTTGGTTGTCCCATCTGTGGGATGGGGTAAGGGCAGGACCTACCTCACAGGGTTACTGAGACGACACCAAGATAATGTCTCTGAAGTGGTTAAGCACAGACCTGGCCGAGGGTAAGGGCTCCATGAGTGTTACAACTACCACTTCACTAATTCCGTTATGTGTCCGAGTCTCCTTGCCTCATCCACAAAGTAACTGTATTTACCTCACGAGGTTGTTGTGAGAATGGAGTACAGGGTTCAAAACAGTAGCTTCACACTTACTCTTTTGATATTATCAAATGTTAACAAGAATCAATTCACACCTTCAAGTGAAGTGACATTCTCACACATCATCTTCTTAATGATCCCTCATTTAAGGTCGAAGTTCAATCCTTTTAAAATCATTCAGTAACTAACAAATGACTGAGTATCATTTAAAATCGTTGAGGGGCATTAAGGAGAGCATGTGATGGGATGAGCACAGGGTGTTCTATATAACTGTTGAATCACTGAACTCTCAGAAACTAATAATACACTATGTTAATTAATTGAATTTAAATTTAAAAAAGTAAAAGAAACACACACACACACACACAAGAAAATAAATAAAAATTTAAAAATCGCAGCCCAGGCTCAGTAGGTGGAACATGCGACTCTTGATCTGGGGGTCGTGAGTTTGAGCCCCATGTTGGGTGTAAAGAATAGTAAAAATAATAATAACCTTTTAAAAATAAGTAAAATAAAATCGCAGTCCAGCCGACTCCTCAGCCCCTTCCCTGCTCTGTTCTCCTTTCTGTAATGCCGTATTTATCATACTGTGTCATTTACACAGCGTATTTCTTCTTCATCATCCCTCTCCCCTACATGCAGGCTTGCCTAGGGCCACGGCCCCAGCGCCCACAACAGTGGGAACTCGGGAAGACTCTGCCCAATGCGTCAACGTGGGAGCACTCGGGCCTGGCGGGGGGGGGCCCGGCACAGCGCATCCTCCCCGGCGGGCCGCGGGGCGTCGGGCCTCACCGCGGGCTGCAGGTGATGCAGCTTCTCCACGGCGGCCAGCGAAGCCACGAAGACGGCGGGCTGGCAGTGCGCGGTGCGGTCCAGGGCCTCCTGCGGCCCGTGCAGGCTCAGCTCCAGCAGGTCGTAGCCCAGCACGCGGCGGGCGGCGGCGTAGAGCTCGCGCACGCGCGGGTAGCGGAGCAGCCCCCCGCCCATGCCCACCACCTGGCTGCCCTGGCCCGGGAAGAGCAGCACCGAGCACTGGCCCGGCGGCCGCCGCGCCGCCGCCTCCCGCGGGCCTTCCTCCGCGGCTGTGTCGTCTCGCAGCAGCTCCGCCACGTCCACGGCGCGCGGCGGCGGCAGCGGGAAGTCCGCGGCGCCGCGGCGGCGGCCCGCGCCCCAACCCCGGGCCCACGCGGCCCGCGCCACCCGCACGCTCATGGTGAGGCTGCCGCCCGCCGCGCGTTACCCGGGCGACCGAGGCCGAGCGGCTGCGGCGCGGCGCGGTCCCTGACGCATTTCCCGCCGGCCGGGCCGCGGCACCCGGGGGCAGGGAAGAAAGGTTCCGCGCGTACGAGTTCCGCCCTGGAGCCCGCGCGGCTGCGCTGCGCGCCGGGGGCCTGGAGTGACCCAGGCGCTTAGGGCCACCCGCGCGGGAGCGAGCAAAGCGCCGCCCCGCGCCGCACAGCCGTCCCCCCGCGGGAAGAGCTCCTGAATGAGCGGCGAGCGCAGTGTCATGCTCACTGTCCCTCGCCTGTGAAGAAGGGGGGTTGAGACGCGTCCACGTTTCTCCTGTTCGGTTTCTCAGCAGCGCTGTGCAGTAAGAGAACAGCCCTCTTTCACAATCTTTCCTGTAAACCGACCAGGCACACAGGAGCATCCGATTCATACCTGCTCCACTGAACAAAGCCCTGGATATTTGCCAGACATTAGCTTCTTTAATTCCGCACAGCAACGCTATGATGGGTGGGGGCTATTATCCTCCATCCTCGGTCTAAGGCTCAGACTTGAGTGACAGGTGGTTAGAGACAGAAGGGGGATCGGAAATGGGGGTTACAGGCTTCTGAGCAGCGCTGTGAGGCAGGGTCAGGGAGAGTCTAACTCTGATCTCACCCCCACTTGCTCCTCTCTCATTTCCTGCCAGCCTCTTCTACGGCGCCCGGGAGACAGACAGACACACAGACAGACACCCACCCACACCCACGCGCACACACTCCTCATAATGAGAAAGATCTACGTGGAATTACATCAGCAAATCTACTTCAGTGAGTTTGTCCTAAGACTCAAATGAGCAAAGCCCTAACTCTCAGAACATCCGATGCAGCCTTGCTTTTGACAAGGAAAAAGTGGGGAAAAGCCCTGTATTTGACGAGAGGAGATTCGTTAAATGGGTTATGGCAAATCTATACAATGCTGAGGTCATCAAAGATACGGAGATTTTCAGGTTAAGACATGAACAGAGCACACAGTGCCTCCAGAAGCCCATAAATCCACAGGAAGGGAATCTTATAAAGACCTAAATCCACAAGGACGGGGAGAACAGGAAAGAAAAGAACTCCTGGAAGCTGAAAAGCAGGAAGACCAGTATTACTTGACTTAGCTGACTCCAGACAGCCAAATTCCTCTGGACAGTGCGGAAAGCTGACCAACCCTCATTTATACAAGAGCCTTCTCAAAAGCTTAGGGACTGGCAGCACTAGCTGCTTGTAGATCTAAGGGTGAAAGAAGGTTAAAATAAAGAGGACAATTTGAAGGTATCTTTGAAGAACAGATCTTTAGACCCCTCTCTCTAGCCACTGAGTGGTGCCCCTCCCTCATTCTGGCAAACATCTGGGGTTTAACTCTGGAAAGGGCTGGACATGCCAGGGACAGTGGTGAATGTGGGTACTTTGCCAAAACAGGTGGATGCTGAATGCTGAATGAGGAGACCTCCTCTGGTGTTCTGCCCCACTAAGCTCCCAGAAACCCAGAACTAGACCCTTAGCCTCCATGCAAGGGACTGAAGGACCTTGGGGAATCTGACCAGTCCAAGAGGAAATCTGAAAGACATTGACAGTCCAGGAAGTTCCCAGACAAATGGCCCCCCAAGTTCCAACTTACAGTGATGCTAAACCAACAAATACCATCCATAGACTTATTTTCCTCCCTCCTTCTAATCATGAGCAACCAGGCCAAAATTCCCAAGCATCTGAGGAAAGCCTCTTACAAACAGAAAAAAACAAAAACAAAACAAAAAACCCACAACACATAGGATTCAGAGACTATTAGAAGAGCAGAAAATAATTGTTTTAAGAAAACTATCACAGATAGTTGAGAGGTAAGAGAAGATGCTGTATCCATGAAAAGTGAACAGAAAGTTATATTTAAAAAGAACATTTAGAAAGCAAATAAGAATCTCTTGGAAATTAAAAATACTAAAGCAGTGGGGCGCCTGGGTGGCTCGGTCGGTTAAGCGTCTGCCTTTGGCTCAGGTCACGTTCCCAGGGTCTTGGAATTGAGCCCCACATCTGGTTCCCTGTTCAGCAGGGAGTCTGCTTCTCCTTCTCCCTCTGCCCCTCCCCCTGCTTGTGTGCTCTCTCTCTCTCTCTCAAATAAATAAAAAAAATCTTTAAAAAAATTCTAAAGGAAAGCAAGGTCATATTTAACTCATAAGTCAAGTTAGAGGTGACCTTGGGTGAAGGGAGGATTCAGAGAGAATACAGGAGACCCCTGGGCCATTGGCAATCTCCTGTTTCTTTTTTTTTTTTTTAAGATTTTATTTATTTATTTGAGACAGAGAGAATGAGATACAGAGAGCATGAGAGGGGGGAGGGTCAGAGGGAGAAGCAGACTCCCTGCCGAGCAGGGAGCCCGATGCGGGACTCGATCCCGGGACTCCAGGATCATGACCTGAGCCGAAGGCAGTCGCTTAACCAACTGAGCCACCCAGGCGCCCTGGCAATCTCCTGTTTCTTAACCTGGGGGTGGACACCCAGGTGTTTTTTCATTATTATTTTGAAGTGTACACAGTGTTTTATATACATTTCTGTTTGTATGGAACATTTCACAATTAAGAAAACCAAGGTAGACAAATGTTTGTTACTGTAGAAAGAGGCGTCTGATTTATTGTAAGGGGAGGAAAATTATAAAACCATTTGTAGCATGAAGGCACTCTTGTAAAGGAAGGTGTGATATGCTTAGAAAAAGTCATACAAACACTCACCGAAATGCGGACTGTGCTTTGCTCTAGGCGATGGGAGAGTAGGTCGCTTTATTTTTTTCCTCTGTGTTTTCCAATTCCTTTGCAATAAATGTGGATTACTTGTGTAATAAAGTAAACACATAAATAGAATAGAAGGATATACTGTACTTGAATCACACCTGGAATTGGGAAGCTGAATGACACACCGGTTAAGAGTGCAGATCCTGGGGGTGCCTGGATGGGAATCCTGACTCCATCGCTGACCCGCTGTGTGACCTCAGGATGTTCCTTCACCTCTCTGAGCTTGTGAGGTGGGGTTAATCCTCTGGGGCTTGGGAGGGTGTTTCCATGCCTCCTTCCTGGATCAACTGAGCCTACAGATAGGCTTTGCTTGTGTTGAATCCTCTAGGGTTCAGCCCAGAGCTGGCCACCCTGAGGGGCTCAATATACATGCCAAATGCTCAAGAGAAGCTCCGTGCTCAGTGCTGTGGAGTTCAGAAGTCACTGCCCACTTAGAATGGGGGTGGCACAGACTTGGGGTTCTGGAAGAGCTTGCTGGCATGACACTGGAGAGCAGTCAGACTTGGACATGTGGAGATGCCCAGGGTGGGGGTGGGGTGGGCGGTGCCCTAGACAGGGGCACAGAGGTGGGAAAGGGTGGGGTAGTTAGCTTGACCCCAGTTTGGCAGGGCCTCCAGTGCCAGGGAAAAGGTTTGGACTGGATCCTAAGCAGTGGGAGCCTTGGAGGATCCTCAGCAGAGGAGTGGAATGGAAAGAACAAGAGGGGAGCTGGGGACCAATTAGGGGCTGCAGCTGCTGCTCAGAGGAGGGACCGTGATTGTTGCCCAGGCTCTGGAGGGGTCTGCGGTGTTGGACAGGAGGGAGGCAGAAGTAACAGGAGGCTTCCAGGCCCAGCAGGCACAGCAGCTCCATGTCTACATCTGCATGCAGACCTCCCGTGTGAATCCCCTCTCAACTGTAGGGTTGTGTGAGCTTCAGGAGGGCAGGGGGCCTCCTGTGTTTGTTCTCAGCCCCTCCCTTTGGCCCTGGCATGCAGCAGATATTTGGGGGCAGAAATTTACTTGAGCGCCATGTGTAGTAGGGGTGAGGCTGGAGGGAAGCTGCCTTGTCTCCTCCCCATGGATCTTCCGGGGGAGGTGAGTGTGCCACTTGGCCAAGACACAGGCACCTCCTTGCAGGAAGAAGGTGAGGGCAGGCTGCTTGCTGGGAGGTGTGGCCAGACCGATTTCATCAAGACGGGCAGGCCCAGTGCCTGGGGCCACAATACTTGGAGGGACCCAGGGAAATATTTTAATTTCTTTTAAAATCAGAAGAAGAAGAAACAATTCATCCTGGATTACACTTGTCTTTATATCAAAGCTGTCGAGGGGCGCTGGGTGGCTCAGTCATTGGTGTCTGCCTTCGGCTCAGGTCATGATCCCAGGGTCCTGGGATCGAGCCCCGCATCGGGTTCCCTGCTCCGTGGGAAGCCTGCTTCTCCCTCTCCCACTCCCCCTGCTTGTGTTCTCTCTCTCTCTCTGTCAAATAAATAAATAAAATCTTAAAGAAAAAAAAAAGCCGTCGAAGGAGGAAGGTCTGGCAAAGGCCAACATGGCACGGCCTAATTATTTGGACTGCCGCCCAGGAGGCTCTAAGCTGCTATGGCTGGGGACAAGAAGCTGTAGTTCGAGTGATTCCCCCAAGGACCAGTTTGGGCCACTTTGGCTCCTGCAGGCTGAGGGGCCCTGACTGGCCAAGTCAGCCCAAGCGGGCCAGGACAGACCCCCGGCTGCAGTGATAAAGCAACACACGCAGGGACGTCTGGTTAAGCGACTGCCTTCGGCTCAGGTCATGATCCCCGGGGTCCTGGAATCAAGCCCTGCATCGGGCTCCCTGCTCAGCGGGAAGTCTGCTTCTCCCTCTGCCTCTGCCCCTGCTTGTGTTCCCTCTTTCGCTGTCTCTCTCTGTCAATTAAATAAATAAATAAAATCTTTAAAAAAGAAAACAAGGCAACACCTGCAGATGAGCTGAGGTGTCCAAGGCCTGGGGCTGGACATGCTGGGCCCATCAGGGTGCCTCTGGCCAACTGGAGGCCAGCTCGGGGCGCTGATGGTTGCAGTCTCCACTCACTGAGTGCCAAGCGTCTGCAGGGCGCCCTGCCTGCATTACCCTGTGGCATCCTCATTAGGCCCACACTGTTGTGCCCATTTTACAGATGAGGAAATGGAGGCAGAGAGAACAGTCACAAAGGACTCAGAGTCCGGCCTTCCTCGTGCCCGGGGCACCGCTTAAAGGGACTAGGGTGCTCCTCCGGCGATGGGGGGCCAGGGCTACCGTGTGGGAGGGTGTTCAGGGCTTTGCTATCAGGCGACGTAATTCCCCTCTTTGAGGTCGGTCCCTGTTGCCCCATTTTCCAAACGGGAAAGGTGAGGCTCAAGAAGAGCAGCGACCTGACAGCGACACAGCCGGGACGGTGGCCACGGGAAGGACCAGGGCCGACAGAGCCTCTCGCGGCGGGGGAGGCAGAGGCAGAGGGGAGGAGGCGAGGAGCGAGTCTCCGGCGGCCGCGGCTTCCAGCCAAGCCGGGCGGGGCCGGGGCCGGGCGGGGCCTCGCGGCCGGGGCGGGGCGGGCGGGGGACCTAGGCCACCACCTCGCGCCGCGCAGTGCCTTCCCGGAGCGCGTCCTCATCGCTGGTGAGTGGGGACCCGGCGCCAAGGGGGCAGCGGGCGGGGCGGCCCCGCGCAGGTGCGACCCCCGACAGCGCCCGCCCGCCGGCGCGGGGCCCGAGGGCAAACTGAGGCAGGAGGGGGCAGGCCGGAGCTGCGAGGCGGGGACCCGAGGGGGCGACCGGGGGGCAGCACCAGGGGGCTCGGCTACCGGGCGGCGGGCTGCCGGGGCCCTGACCTCCGGCGGTCGGGGATCCTGTGCGGCGGCATTCCAGCGATGAGCGGGAGCTCGGAAGGGGGGGTGAGTTGGAGCAATCTGGCCCCGCTCCGCCCCGCCCCACCTCCGGCCCCCGCGCCCCGCCCTCTCCGCGCCCCGCCCTCTCCGCGCCCCGCCCTCTCCGCGCCCCGCCCTCTCCGCGCCCCGCCCCTCTCCGCGCCCCGCCCCCTCCACTCGGGTCTGGCGGGAAGCAGAGCCGCCGCGAGGGACCCGACACTCCGGCTCCCGCCCATTCCGCAGATGAGCAAGCCGGATGGGGGAGGGGGTTAGGGGGAGGGCGGGAGTGGCTGAGCGGGGTACCGAGAGGATCACAAAATGCCCGGGAGACCTCAGGCTCCTGGTCCACTTGAGACTCTTCATTTCTAGGCGGGGAAACCCAGACCACCTGGGGAGGTTATTTGCACACAGCCAGTTAAGGCCCCAGAGGATCTTAGAACCGGGTCCCAAGAGTCCCAGTTCAGTGCTCAGGTGCGCTGTCGCCTGGACAGGGGTCTGGTGTGGGCAGAAGATGGCCTGGGACCTGCCTGTCCGTTGCCCCTCCTGCAGCGGTAGGGGTGCTGGGGCTTCCAGCTGTGAACACACTGCAGAGTTCTGGGGTTCACCCCGCTGGCCGGGCCTGGCCTGGGAGCCTGGCTGGCCTGCTAGTGTGCGGCGGGACCCGGTACCAGCCGTGTGCTCTACAGTGAATGGCAGGGAGGCTGGGCTGGGGCCTCCCCTAGGGACGGTTGACTGGGGCTGATCCCAAAGGGTCATGGGGCTCGGAGACGATGCCAGAGGGGGCTGTGTACAAGAAGGGCGCCAGGGTGCCTGGCACGCAGCAGGCCGTTGACCGAAAGACTTAGCTGGCAGAATGTGGGCCTCGAGCCTCCGGTGCCTCTGTGGGGGTGAAGTGGGGAGCCCTGCAGGGCAGCAGGGGCGGATATCTGCTTCATGGAGCAAGGGCGCTGCCTTGAAAGGACCCAAGGAGCAAGGGGTGGGGGGATAGCAAGCCTCTTCACGGAGCGGGGGGCGGGGGGCAGGCTGCCTCCTTCTGTTTCCAGATGGCTGCACAGCACACCCAAAGGGAGGCTCAGAGGGGAGCCTTTGAACTGAGGGAAACTGAGGCTCCCCCAGGAGCCCGTGTCCAGGGTCACATAGCTGGGGAGCCATATGGTTCAAGGCCCTGCTCCGTCCTCTGTACCCCTGTGTCAGTGACTGAACAGTAGCTGGCTGGATCGGCCAGAAACCTTGGCCATGGGTTGCTCAGGGGTGAGGTGAGGGGCTTGGGCTCCAAGGCAGGGAGCCTCCTTTTTATTCTATACACTTTCACTTTTTCATTGTTTTGTTTTGGAATCTGTTTTTTTTATTTGTACTTTTACTTACTTCTGATTGTGCAAGCCGTGTCTGAATATGCTCTTTGTGTTTAAAAAAGTAGTCATTCTCCACGGAGCAAATTCCCCCTTGTCACTCCCAGCCCCACCCAGTCCCAGACCTCCCGGTTACCAGCTGGATATGGATCCTTCCTGACCTGTTGGCTGTTGTACTGGGTCTTGCATAATGAAAAAGATTCACAGAGGTTATAAGGCGGAGGATTAGCTGTGAGTCATTTTAAAAAAGAAAGGAGCCTTAACACCAGTCCCGGGGACAGCGGGTGGCTTGGGTGAGAGATAAGGCCTAGGACGGCTGGGGGGAGGAGGAGAGAATCGGAGAAACAAACTCTTTGTTCTGTCTGGGGTGCAGTTTCTGCCACGTTCTATAGGGAGGCCTCTGGAAACAGGAGGATGCCCCAGAGACTCACTAGCTGAGCCCCCACTTCACAGATGGGGAAAAGAGGGCCTGGGAGATGAGATCTTAGGGCCAGAAATGGGTCTGGAGTCTTTTGGCGGGGAGCAGGAGCGAAGCTCCTTAAGGACAGGAGATCCTGAGTCCCACCCTTGGGGGGACAGGGAGGATTCAGATCCTATTACTGCTGCCCCTGGCTAAGAAGGGGTCTGATGCCCCGTGGGGGCTGGGACACTGGTGCTGGGGCTGGAGAGAGTGAACGTGCTGGCCCTGAAAGAATCTTCTGACACTGGGCAGAGGGTGTGACCGCTGTGGTAGGGTGGGAACCCCCTCGGCCCTCTGGGCAGGCCTTAAGTGCCATGTTGGGATGAGAAGGAGGCTGAGAGAAAGAGGTGACACAGGTATCAAGGTAAATGGCCTCGTGGCCCAGAGCTGAGGCCAGCAGACTCCCCGCTCAGGGGTGGGGGTGCTCTGGGCCTCAGAGTCATAGAGATCTGGAAAATTCTGGGATTCCCTGTGCCTCAGTTTCCTTATCTGGATGGTGGGAATAGTAATGTCCACCATGGAGGCCAGGAGGGTGTGGCTCAGGGCCCCCCAGGGAGAAGCAGCTGGTCGCCGTCCCTGCAGCTGCTGTGAAGAGTAAGTGAAGTATGAGCATCAGGGTGAGCCGCCAAGCACCACCCCCGAGGCCTAGAACCTTCTCCTGATCCCAGGTCCTGAGCCCTCTGCTTTGGCCCTTCTCGGCCTCTGTTTCAGAATTGCTTGTGCATGAGTGGCCCCAGGGTGGAGCTGTGTGTGAAGCCTTTTGCCCCGCTTAGCATCCAGTGCCTGAATGGCTGATGTCTTTCAGCCTGGAAGAAGATGCCATGGGGCCGCTTCTTCCCCCAGAGGAAATGGGGTGAGTGGCCCCAGCCCTGACAGCCACAGCCCCTCACTTGTCTGGTCCTCACTTGAGCCTCCCGATGACCCCATGAAGCAGGCAGGACAAGTTGTACCCTCCTGATGTAAGGGAAACTGAGGCCCAGAGAGGAGCTTTGGCCTGGGATTACAAAACAAATTGGAGGCAAGCCAACATTTGGGTTCTTAGTCACTGTCTGATGTTGATGGAAGGAAAGGGTGTGTGAGTGGCTTTGCCCTTCTGCTTGCATCCCAAGTCTTTTCCCAGTCATGGGTGCTCCCTGACCTTCCCCAGGCCTCCCTGGGACCCCATCCCAGAGCACATCTCTCTCAGGCCTGCCTGGGCTAACCCAGCCCAGCCTAGTGTGACTCAGCCTGGTGGGTCCCCCAGTCGGGTGATTCAGGAGCTGGGCAGTCCCCCAGAGGCCACAGGAAGCTCCCTGACTGGGCTGTCTCTATCTGGCCTTTCTGGTCTGACCTTCAGGCTGGCAGACTCTCTGATCCCCAAGGCCCAGTGAAATATCAAACACAGCCAGGCTCTGGAAGGGGCAGCGGGAGTGGGGGCAGGAACACAAGGCTCAGACCCTACTCTGTCACTGAGGCCTTAGGGAAGCCACCACCCTCTTGGGGCCGTGGTTTGTTCTGTACAGCAGGGGGCTTGGTTGATGGGCTCTAGGGTCCACTCAGCGGGCACCGTGGGCAAGTCCTGTGTGGCATTTCCTGGGCACGGGCTGGGTGCTGTGGCAGGGGGACAGGAGTGCCCCTGCCCACAGAACCTTGCAGAGAAGTATGGGCAGGTGGTGCAATGTGAGTGAATCTCAGAAACATGTTCCGTGACAGAAGCCAGACCCCAAAGGCCCCGTATTGTATGATTCCATTTACATGAAATGTCCAGAAAAGGTAAATCCACAGAGACAGAGGGCAGATTGCTGCTTACCAGGGGCTTGGGGAGGGAGGGACAAGGCGTGACTGCAGTGGGTACAGGCGTTCATTTGGGGTGACGAAAGTGTTTTGGAACTTGATATCGGAAGTGTACTGAATGTCACTGAATCGTGCACTCTAAATGGTTAATTTGACATTATGCAAATTTTACCTCGATTTAAAAAAAGTAGAAGAAAACCCCCGAGGGCCCTGGGGGCAGGGGGAGCGGGGGCTGGGGCTGGGGTCAGGGCAGAAGTAAGGGACAGTGCGAACTGTTAGCCAAACCAGGATACTTCTTTTTTAATGTTCTATTTTGAACTAATCCTAGATGTACAGAAAAGGTACAAAAGTAGTAGAGAGGGGCGCCTGGGTGGCTCAGTCGTTAAGCGTCTGCCTTCGGCTCAGGTCATGATCCCAGGGTCCTGGGATCAAGCCCCGCATCGGGCTCCCTGCTCCGTGGGAAGCCTGCTTCTCCCTCTCCCACTCCCCCTGCTTGTGCTCCCTCTCTCGCTGTGTCTCTCTCTGTCAAATAAATAAAATCTTAAAAAAAAAAAAAAGTAGTAGAGAGAGTCCCCCGCACAGCCTCCCCCAGAGTTCCACCAGTTTTCCCACAAACTGTCGAGCGGACCCCAATACCACATCTGGATCCCGCATTGCGTTTAGTTGTTCTCTCTCCAGAGTCTGCTTCACTCAGTGACCTTTCCCTCCATCTCTCCTCGTCTCCTGGGAGCTTGGCACCTTTGAGAGTGTGGGCATACCAGTTTTGGAGAATGTTCTTCCACCCAAGGTTGTCTGGGCTTTTCTCATGATTAGGCTGGGGTTTTGCGTTTTGGGCAAGAATACCCACAGCAAGTGTGCCCACCTCTGCGGTTCTTATCAGGGGTTCGTGATGCCCGTGTGTCTTGTCCTGGCCGCATTCACCTTGAGCGCCTGTAGGAGGGATGCTTCGGAGGGTGAGGGGGGCCATCAGTTTGAAACAAAGTGGGTACAAAGTGGGACTGTCCCGTGTCATGGGAAAAGGCACAAAAGGTCACACTGAGGAGACTCGAGGTCTGGCCCAGTTCGGTGCCTGACCCCCAAACCCTCCCCTCGGCTTCTGGGCCTCAGTTTCCCTGTCTGCATGTGAGGGTCAGGATGGTGTGAAGGCCTCCCACCTGCCCAGCCATGTCACGTTCCAGGGGAGGCCCAGGGCTCTGACCACAGCTCCTATGGTGGCCCAAACACTGTCACTTTGCTGTGGATCCAACATATTTATTAGGCAGGCTGGTCAGGGCTGTGTCCCCCGTGACACAGATGAGAAAGCAGCTAAGGAGACCTGAGCCTGCCCCAGGTGGCCCGCTGGTGAGCCCAGCTGGGTGGCCGGGTCCCCGGGCTCGGTGTCCAGAGCTCCACATCCACCTGGCAGGAGCACGGGGCCAGCGGCCTCCCGACTGTGGTGAGACAGACCCTCCCGCTCACCCGGGAACAGTCCTGTGCACCCTGGAAGGTCAGAGGTCAGGGCAGGAGGGCAGGGGAGGGAGGAGGACAGGAACGTCTACTTGCTGGGCCCCCGCATCACATGCCCAGCCCTCGGCGAGCTCATCCTCGCAGTGCACCTGTGCCTTGACCTTGGGGGATGGAGGGACTGTCCCAATTCCACAGGTGAGAAAACCGAGGCCGAGGAGGGAGGAATCAGTCAGTCACTAGAGGGCAGAGCTGGAACCTGCTGCCTAACACTCTCCGATTGTCCCGTTTAAAATGATGCTCATTGGGGCGCCGGGGTGGCTCAGTCGTTAAGCGTCTGCCTTCGGCTCAGGTCATGATTCATTAACGACTGAGCCACTCAGGCGCCCCTGTTTTTTTTTTTTTTAATTGGGATCATTCTGTAGTCGACTTTATATTCCTCTTTCTTTGCTTAACGTTATGTTGAGAACAACTTTCACATTATTAGAGTCCTCAAAAGCTGGATTTGGGGGTTGACCAGGCCTTCATGGTCCCTGCTTTTTTGGGCATGAAGGTTGCTTCTGCATCTCATGGGGCTTCACGGAGCCCCAGGCGGCAGCTGCCCCCTCTCCCCAGGGCAGCCTTCACCCCTTGCTCTGAAGCCCTGATGGCCCCCAGGGCCTCCAAAGCGAGCACAGCCTTTTCCCTGCATCTGCTCCCCCGCAGGCAGGCGACCCCCTCAGCCCACCCTTGCCTGTCATTCCCTGACTGCTCTCCCTTCCTGTGTCCCCCTGCAGGAAGTGCTCGCCGTCCTGCCAGGACCATCTTTTCCTTGATCCCGGGTCGGGGGTACCCTTTCTGAGGTCTGTGCCCCTCGCAGGGACTCTCCTGTTCCGTCTACCCTGGGTCCCCAGCCCCCACCCTAGCAGGTCAAGCTGCGGGTTTGCTGAACTCAATCTGGATGGCTTCTTATCTCGTGCAAACACCTCCAGGTTCTCCAGTTACGATCAGAGTGTGGCAGTGGGAGCCCAGCCACCTCATTTTATGGTGGGGAAACCGAGTCCCAGCTGGGGTGCTCACGGGCTGAGGGTCCTACAGCAGGTCCAGTCAGAGTTGGCCTGAGATGACCAGCCAGGGACCCCCCACCCCCTTGCCGTCACTCTGGACCCTCAGCCCCAACAAGCAATTCAGCCTGCTGGGGGCTGTACCCACTGCTGGGCGCCTAGTAGGTCCTCGAGCAGACCTTGGGGCCCCTGGGGAAGGGGACATAGTTGATGAGCACAGTGGACAGACCTGATGACTGGGTCCCCAGCCCTTGGGGTGGCAGCACCCAGGCCTGACACAGGGACCTTCCCTGCCCTGAGCCCTGCCAGACTCTCAGGGTGGCTGACGGGCCCTCGCTAGCCTTGAACTCTTGCTAACTCCTGTTCTTCCCCACCCACCACTTCCGTGAGCCCGGGTGTCAGGGTGGGAGCAGCTTTTTGACTGGGCAGAGCTTGGCCCCAGGGTGCTGTGTGACTCCAGGCAGGCGGCTTTCCCTCTCTGACAGAGGGAAGGGAAGGTGATTTGAGGGTGGGCTTGTAGGGTGGTGGTAAAATACCTGTGTAACTGGATACTCCCCCACTGGGCTGGGCCCAGGCAGGCAGTGTTGATATCCCATTCTACAGAGGGGGAAACTGAGACCCAGAGAGCTGAATTGATTTGCCTGAGGTCACAGGGAGGTAGTGGGGAGCCAGGATTTGAGCCAAGCTCTGTGTGATACCAGTTATTGAATGAGTGAATGAATGAATCAGTGAATGAGTGAAGGAATGGTGAGAGAGGGAATGAGAAGCAGTAGAACATAAAGCACGGGGTGTGGACCGATGCAGGCCTCTCGGAGCGCCGGGCTGTCAGTGGGCCTGGGGAGGAAGGGCCAGGAAGCCGTCTGGGTGGAGGGGACACGAACTGACCTTGAATCAGAAGAGGGGTCACTTGACAGGAGACCCAAGGTCAAGGGTGAGGGTGAGAGAGAGAGTACAGGACGCTGGCAGCTGGGGCAGGAGCTGAGGTGGGACCAACTGTGGCTCCTGCCAGTCCGGGCAGCCTCAGGGGCGGGGGCGGGGGCGGGGCAGGAGTTTTTGGGTGGAAATGTGCTCCCTGGAGCCATGGCACTGGGCTGGCAGGGGCTGCCGGGGTGAACCCAGCCCCTCCCTGCCCAGTGCTTGGGGAAGTCTCGCCCCAGTTCTGGAGTGCCCCCCACCCCACCCCTGTCTTCTCTCGCAGAACTTTCCAGAGCAGCCGTGACCGCAGCAGCAATGGCCCCAACTTGGGTGCCCGCCGTGGGCTTCACCCTGGTGCCCAGCCTGGGGGGCTTCCTGAGCTCGTACTACTACGTCCGCGGGGAGGGCCTCCGCTGGTACGCCAGCCTGCAGAAGCCCACGTGGCACCCGCCCCGCTGGGCCCTGGGCCCCATCTGGGGCACCCTCTACTCGGCCATGGGGTAGGTGGGCTGGGCCACCCTCCCCTTCTCGAGGCCCCAGGACCGAGCGTCTCCTCCACGTGCTCCTGCGGAAGCAGCGTTTCCGGCCGAACCGCCTCCTCCGGGGAGGGGAGCGGGGGGGGAGGGGGAGCGGGGGGGGAGGGGCGGGCCGGAGCTGGCGCAGGCACCCTGGCTGTTTTCGAAACTCCGGGGGGAGGCGGGCTCCGCGTTTCAAGTTCAGACCTGGGCAGCCTCCAAGACCAATAGTGGCAGCGGCAGTAACAATTCTCGTAGCTACCACTTGTTGAGCATCCGCTCAGTGCCAGGGTCTTGGTTAATTTTCAAGACAACCCACTGGACAAGGGGCCTCCTGCAGGAAGCCTTGGGACTACACCCCTGCAATTGCCCCGGGAGGAAAGGAAGAGCTGGGCGGGGGAGGGCACCCCCTGGTGGCCCCAGTGGGGACTGCATCCACAGATGAGGCCAGCTCCCTGCCCTCCTTCTGGAAGATTCCCTGCATCCTGGGTCTAGCCAGCCCAGTACTGGGTGGGGCTGCAGATGCCAGGCGGCCAGGGAGCAGGTAGCAGAAGCCAGGCTGGATGCCTCCGGGTTCTGATGGGAACAAGACAGTCCGTACAACCTGGGTGTCTCGTGGGCACCACCCCCAGCCAGTCCCGGGCCCTGCCCAGCCAGGCTCCCAGCTCTTCCTGTGTCCTGCTCTCTCCTCCCCGATCCCGGCCCAGGCACCACTGTTTCTACCTCTCCTTGCTTCAGCCTCCAGGCCTGCCCACTCCCTCTTGGCTTTCCTCCACCAGTGCGATCCTGATAAAGCCCAAATGTGACCCTAGTCTCTCTTTCGCGGGACCCTGCGGAGGCTCCCTGTGACCCTGATAAGTCAAATCTCTCATGGAGTAAAGAGCTTGGGCTCTGGCCCTGGCCACCTGGGTTCAAATCCTGCCTTTACCTACCGGTTGCCTGCCAAGACATCTGCGTCACTTTGCTGCTCTGTGCCTCAGTTTCCCCACCTGTAACACGGGGGTGATAATACTGCCCACCTCACAGCATTATCATGAAGATGAAATGAGCTGATACTTGGAAAGAGCCAGAGCAGTGCCTGCATGTGTAAGTGCTGGGGGACACTAGCTGTTCCTGTCAGTGGTGTTACTGCTGCCCTCGTAGTTCTGAGAACCCCCATGACCAGGTCCCCATCTGCCTCTTTAGCCTCACTTCTCTGCTGCGCCCCCAGACCTCACCCTCCAGGCCCACAGGCCGATTCAGGGGCTCACACCTGCCCCTAAGTATGTGTAGATGCTTGTTTCTCCCCCTAGCAAACTCCTACTCGCCCTCGAAGGCCCAGCCGAAATGTCCTGTCCTCTGTGCGGGCGCCCCTGGCTAGGTTAGGAGCCTGTTTCTCACTCGTATGCTTTCCTCTCCAGGCCCTGATGATAATAATGGTAGATATTTACTGAGTGTCCCACGTGCCAGGCGCTGACCTAAGCACCACCAGGGTGTTAACGCAAATCCCCACAGCAATCCTGGGAGCGGTGAAGGCCCAGAGAAGTCAAGCAAGTTCCCTGAGGTCACAGAACGGTCGGTGGCAGAACATGCCTGAGCCACCACTGTGTCGTGCCGTAGGTGAACATGGTCTCTTCCTTGCTGGTGCCCTGACTGGTGGCCTCTGTTTCAGGTATGGCTCCTACATGGTCTGGAAAGAGCTGGGGGGCTTCTCCGAGGAGGCTGTGGTTCCCCTGGGTCTCTATGCTGGGCAGCTGGCCTTGAACTGGGCATGGCCTCCCCTCTTCTTTGGCAGCCGACAAATGGGTTGGGTAAGTGTGGCCTTGGCCGGTCTTCTTGGTCCCTGGAGATGGCCTGTGGAGGAGCAGCCCTTCCTTGGGGGACAGAGGGCATCACATCCTAGATGGGGTGAGGGTCTAAAGATCCGGGGGCGGGGATGGCACACGGCTCGTGGTCAGCATCTCTCAGAAGCTTTTAGGGGACCAGTGGCCTCCCGTGGAGCCCGCAGCTGCTTCTCCTCCGATGAAGGGAGCTTGCAGGGTTCTCACAGAACCAGACAGGCTTGCCAGCTTGGTTGAGGGGCCATCGTATAGGAAAACATTGCGCCTGGTGCCATGCATCCCTCACGTGGCATGGATCCAGCCAGGGTGATTGTTCCCATTTTACAGAGGGGAAACTGAGGCAGAGACCAAGGGAGGGACTTGACGGGGTCACTTGGGGGGGTGGAATAGAGTGTTCCCTTGAGTGCACCCCATGAGCGGCCGGCTGGGACACGCACCCGGTGAGTACAAGGAGCCTCAGGCCTCCCTGTCCCCGCCGCCCTGTGTCTCTGCAGGCGCTGGTGGACCTCCTGCTGATGGGTGGGCTGGCAGGAGCCACGGCTGTGGCCTGGCACAGGGTGAGCCCACCAGCCGCCCGCCTGCTCTACCCGTACCTGGCCTGGCTGGCCTTCGCAGCCACACTCAACTACTGTGTGTGGCAGGACAACCAAGGCTGGCGTGGTGGCCGTCGGCTCGCCGGATGAAAGTGCCCCGTCCTCTGAGGACCGCAGCTGCTGCCCATCAGGTGCTGCCCGGGTGGTGGCCCTTATACTTCCATGGCCTTCCGGCCTGCGGGTCTGTCTGGGTCTCAGCCCCGGGGGTCACCACCAGCTTCAGAAGTGCCCCAGGCCGAGCCTCTGTCCCAGAAACGGCGTCCTGCGCTTTCCGCCCTGCCCCAAGCATGCTCTCGGAACACGGAAGGTTAGAAGCGAAATAAAGTTTCTAACCTCCTGGCAGTGGCCTTTTTACTTGGGTGGGACCCCTGGCCGCGGGGAGGGAGGGGCGCTCATCCTACTGCTGGATCTGCCTGGGCTGCATCCTCCAGATGAGGCTGGGCCAGGTCAGCGCTTACCTGTGCTTCTCGGGCCCCTCCCAAGACCCCCTAAGAGGCGAGGTGGCCTGCCCCGGATTGCCCAGGTTCGACCCGGGGCACACACCCTGGCTATGATGCTCTAAGACAGGCGGGCGGCAGGCCCAGAGCTCGGTCCCATCCACTCTCTCAGCCTCCAGGAATCTTAGCGCACGGTGTGGGCCCGCAGTCGGCCTGGGCTGGCACCTCAGGGCCCTCAGCTGGCCTCGGCTCGGATGGGGCTGGGCCCAGAGCTGGGGACACTGCCCGACCTGCCCCTCGGGTGCTGGGACTCAGGCCAGCCTCACTCCACCGGGGGCAGCCCCGTAAACACCAATCGGCAGTAGGGCCCGTGTCCAGGCCCCGGAGACCACAGCCCCTCACAGGCCCAGGCCTGCCCACGTTTGGAGGTGTCACCCCCAGCTTTGAATTGGGTTGTCCAGGTCCTCTGCAGGCAGCTGCTGGGGAGGGGGAGGCTGGCAGAGGCCTGTCGTGTGGGCAGGCTCCCGCTGGGGCGACACCTCGGCTCCAGCTTCGCGCTCCCACATTCTGGGCCGCCTGGCACCGGGGCGCTGGCACCTGCCGGCCTTTGGCGGCTTGTTTTGTTTTTGGTTGTCGATCACTCACGGGCACGAGTGTTGCTCTGTCATTTGGGCAGGCCGGGTGCTCTGGGCGCTCCCCGTCCCCTTGCCCTCTCCTCACAGACAGGACCCAGTTACAATGGTAGGAAAGCTCCGGGAGAGACAGCTGGCCGCATTCGGCGAGAAGGGGCGGCTCTCTTGCAGGGGCTGTCACCTCCACCTCCGCTGGAACTGGATGCCGGGCGGATGACGCTCTGCGGGAAGCCTGCGCACCTCGGCCAGCTCCTCCTGCGGATTCTCGGATGCTCCCCAGGGCAGAGGCTCCCCAGGGCAGAGGCTCCGATGGGGGATGCTCTGAGCATCCTTTTTATTATTTCTTTAGTTCTCCAAGATGGTTGGGGGGAGGGGCACTGAAGTGTCATCACAGGCCCCCCGTGTGCCCTCTAGATGTGCTGTACTTAGCACTTAAGTGCGCCTGAGACTTCTGGGATCCTCGTGCAGGCTTTTGTCTCTTGCATTTGCTTGTGGCTTCGTTCGTTTCCAGCAATATCCCACATACTTCCTCCCGGCCACAAAAATGGGTGAGAGACAGATGTACTTTGCCATTGTGTTGGCTGGCTTTCTTGTGATGCTCTCCGCCCGTCCCCGTTTTTCATAAGTAGACCAGGTTCTCTTTTTCTGAGCTTTGGCATCCACTAGGAACGTCAGGCTTCTGACAGTGTCCATGTCAGTTTAATAGGAAAATCCATACCTCATGGATTGTCAAGTCCTTCTGTCCTGCCCTTGAAGTCCTAAATCTGGGCATTTGCTTCCCTCTGTAGCAGACTGGCCATAAAGGATGCAAGACAAGGTCATTCATACAGCCCAGGAGGGCTCGGCCGGCCGTTGGCAGGGACGAGCACTTTAACGTTGTCATCGGCCCCTGTGGATCTCTGGTGCCTCTCCAGGAAAGGGCCGCCCCGTCTGGGGGTGTTTATGTGGCCACGGATCATCACAGAGAATCTTTCTAAATTTCACCATCAGCATCTCAAGCTTTACCTTTTGGATTTGTTTTGTGTGGTTCTGTAGAACTTTGGTACAATTAATGCTGTGGCTGTAACTCCTGGTTGACTCTAGGCGTCCAACTCTTACAAATTCTAAACTTTAAGGAATTCTCAACACAGGGGCGCCTGGGTGGCTCGGTCTGTTGGGCGTCTGCCTTTGGCTCAGGTCGTGATCCCGGGGTCCTGGGATCGAGCCCCGTGTGGGGCTCCCTGCTCAGCAGAGAGTCTGCTTCTCCCTCTCCATCTTTCCTCCCCCCACTCACGCACTCTGTCTTTAAAAAAAAAATTCTCAACACGAAGTGACTCCAGTGAAGACAGTACCAGAAAGAAGTACTTCCGAGGGTAAGAGCCGTCTCCACCGCAAGTATGGTCTTCAGGGACGGTGAGGGCCCTGCCTGATGCCCTTCCTTGGGGGGCAATGTCTGATTTCCACTGATCAGAGGTGCAAGGACATCTAAAGTTGGGGAAAAGCCCGCTTATAATTAAGGAGAGCCTGGATCATGTAGTCCCCTGATCACAGCCATGCCTGCTCAGAGTATCCTGGGTAATTGGGTTTCAAGTGAACTGGAAATGAGCAGGCCCACTATCCCTGTTAGGCATCTGGATGAATACCCTGGTGTGAGTGCTTGTCCTGAGGGGCACAGGAGGTCCCTTGCAGGGCATGTCCAGATGGCACGTTGGGGGCGGGGGGGGCTCTGCCCACCGCCAGGGAGCCTCACTGTGCTGGCCAACAGCACTCACACCCCTTCTGCCTCCGCCTGCTGGACCCTCTGGCTGCCCTAAGAGCAGTTAGGGTCTCCCATCACCCCTACCCTCAGGGTGAGGAAACAGGCACGAAGAGAATCCCATTCCCTGAGGCCCCAGCAGTGCGTGCATGACGAGGTTCCTGGGCACTGCCCATGATGTCAAGGTGCACCCTGGCTCCACATTTGTCCCCGCTGCGTTCTGCTCTGAAATGGAACCAGGGCGGGGGGAATCCCACTTTGGGGAAGGAACCTTCTGTGGTCTTGAGTGTTCCCCTAAATCCCTATGTTGAATCCTATCCCCGGTGTGATGGTCATAGGAGGTGGGAACTTCGGGAGGTGATCAGGCACGAGGGTGGGGCCCTCATGAATGGGGTCAGTGTCCTTACAAGAGACCCCACAAAGCTCCCTTGCCCTTTCCCACACAAGGACACAGGGAGAGGGTGGCCATCTGTGAACCAGGAAGAGGGCCCTTATAGATGCAAATCTGCTGCCCCCTGATCCCGGGACACCCCAGCCTCCTGAGGCAGGAACTCCTGTTGCGTAAGCCCCCCAGTTGTGGTATCCCGTTACCGCGGCCCTAACGGACCCAGACGGACACCTGGCAGCCAAACCACCGTCTTCTTTCGTTTCTCCAAGTGGACGTCTTGGTATTTTGGTTTTCTTCAACAACCAAACAGGAAGACCGCTGACACATGGCGCCGGGCCTGTGGTTCCGGGGCCTCCACACAGAGAGGGAGGCCAAAGTCGAGAAGGTATACTTTATTGCGGTACAGGTCGCATCGAGGAGACGACAGGACGCCGGCGGCTCCCCAGGGAGCATACCAGAGACAAGGCGTCCTGCTCTCTACACCTCAGCTTGGCTGCAGGGAAGGGGCGTCTCCCCAGCCGACAGCTGAGGTTCTGGGTGGCAGAGAAGATGGACAGACACAGCCAAGCAGACACATGGATGGGAGGCACGGTCAGGTCGTTTTGCTTCTTGGCTTCAAAACGAAATCAAGCTCCCCCCCCCACCCCGGGGGGCAAGCTCGCCCACCAGCCTGTCAGCTGGGCTTGGGGGCACTGCGGCTACACGAGACACACCAGCATGTGACTCCAAATTTCAGAAACAAAGTTATGGAAATGATAAGAATTTTTATATTTTCCTCCCATCGATGAAAAACGAACAAAAATCCAACATTTTGACTCTAGACTCTGGGGGAAGGTGGCATCTGACGGTAACGTCAAGTTCCGCCTAGAATGGTCTTCCTCAGCTGCCTGCTGCCTGGCGCTCCGCCACCCCACTTGTCCCTGAGGCCCCAGCCGACGGCAGATGAGGGAGAAAGCTCTGTCTGGGCCGCAGACAGGAGGGTGGCCTGCTTCTGCATAAACGGAAAGGCGACGGCAGCCAAAGGCCGCGGGCCTTCCTGAGTGGGAACTTCACGGGAAGCTTGCTGGTGAAGGTTTTGGTTGAGACTGGGAAAGAAGAAGGCTGGGTCTGGGAAGCAGGCTCCCAGGTGTTCTGGGGGGCAGGGGTGCGGGGTGGGACCCTGACACCCTGCCACGGGGCAGACTCGACGCATGGGCAGACACTCTGGAGAAGCAGTCCGCCTGGCCCCCGTTCACGTGTGGGGCCCACAGGTGTTGCTGGGTAAACCTGTTTGTGGGGACACCTCGTCGTGCTCCCCAGAACCCGCATCTGCTAACACCCTGGGAAACACAGCAGCCCAGGAACCGGACTCTCTGGAAAAGCCCTCGGCTGAGCGTAGGTGGTGGTGAGGGGAGTGCGGACAGGGGCCTGGCACTCAGCCCTGGGGACACCGTGACTGGCCCTGCTCCTGACCTCGGAGGGAAGAGGACCCTGAGCCCCCGGAGGTGGCGCGGGGATGACAGCTCGAAGGCGAGGCTGCGCCTGAGGGAGGAGGGGAGCGGGCTCTGCAGAAGCAGCTCCACGTGCTGAGGCTGGAACGGGCCGGCACGCGCCACGGAGCCACGAGCACCTAGGTCAGGCGGGTGACGTGGCAGTGGTCGGGCTCGTCCAGGTACAGGGTGCTGAAGACGTCATTGAAGAAGCTCGGGTGGTACCTGCAGGCCCGCTCACAGTCCGGGTTGAAGTTCACCTCCAGGATCTGTGGCTGCATCATTCGCTTCCCTGAGGGACAGCACAAGAACACAGGGCATCTCACGCCCGGGTGGCTGGCCAGGCCTGGCACCAGGTCCCTGGTCCCTTCCCTCCCGAGCTCCCTCCTGCCGCCGCCGCAGCCCGCTGCCCTTCCCACTGGCGCTCCGCCCCAAAGTTCGCTGCCCCTAACGAGCCTCCCACACCAGGTCTCACGGTGAATCTGAGGCAAAGGACCATCTCAGCAGCACTGAGCAGGGCAAGGAACCAGAGATGCCCTCTCTGTCCCCCAGGGGCGGGGGAGGGCTGGATGATGGGCTTTGGGTAAGTGGAGGGGGGCGCGGTTTGGATTATGGGGCAGGCGAGCCCCCTCACCATCTGGACAGTTGTCCCACTTGAGCATGAGGTCGATGGCATACACAGCCCGGGACGAGGGATAGTTGCAGAGGCCCAGGGGCGGTGGCTTGGCACACGCCACTTGGAACAGCTCCGTGAAGGCCTGGAAGATGTCAGCCTGGGGAAGGGGCAGGCAGGGTTGGGGGCTGCACGGCTCTGAGGCTGGGACCAGCCCCCAGAGCAGCTCCTTACACGGCCTCACTGCCTCTCCGTGAGCTGCGGCCCCAAACGGCCCACGAGCCCTCCTCCTGCGGCCTTCGTGTCTCCACCCCTGGCCCTCGCCGTCTCCTCTGACACGTGCTAAGCTGCCTGGCTCCTGCCTCGGGGCCCCCAGCTCCCCTCGGCACCAAGGTGCCCAGAGCAGCAGCGGAAGGGAACTCTAGGATGCGGAGGCCAGCCCGGGTCTCCAGCTGTGTCCCTACTGTCCCCTCAGGTCTGCAATTTCTGGGGCAGGTAGGGCCTATCGCCATCTGGCTGTCCCGACAGTGCTCCCACTCCCCTCCAGAACACCCCACGAGGCCCAGAGGGGGAGGAGGGCTGCAGCGCACGCCGTCTCCTTCACCGGCCTCGGTGGGAGGAGCAGGACCATCCCAAGGAGGCCAAGACCCCCACCCGCCCAACGCCAGCCCACGAGGGAAGCCCCAGCCTCCACCCAGGACTCACCTGGACGCTCTTCCAGGGAAATTCCGGGTACTGCTTCTCAAACTCAGGGATGAACTCATTACAGTGCACCTGCCACAGACACACAACCCGTCACGCTCTGCCCGGGGGCCTCCTCGGGGCAGGGAGCGGGGAAGCCTGCCCTGCCTTCACGTGGAGGCTCTGGCACTCACCGGGGCCACATGTCAGCACCCTCAGCCTATCCAGCACCCCTGCCCCTGGGCACAAATGAGAGGCAGGGGACGGAGTCTGAGCTCTGGATCTTACCCTGTGACTCAGGACAAGCAGATTTACTTGTCAGAGCCTCAGTGTGCTCATCTGTGAAATGGGACAATGCTCCCTGTGCAGCACTTATTTACAGGGCTACTGTGAGGCCCGGACAGTGTGCTGGAAGCAGAGCCCAGACCCAGGCCTGAGCTCACCGCTCAGCACCAGCTCCAAGTGCCTGAGGACGGAAAGATCTCCTCGGGCCAAGACTGCATCTAAAACACACGTGCGCAAGCCGGCCCCAAGCTCAGGCTTCTTCCTGAAAGGCTGAGCCAGGATGGGCTCCCTAAGGAGGCCTGATGCTCACATCCTGTTGGCGATGTGTCCCCACACACAGGAGCTTACAGAGAAATGCGACCCTTGGGGTGCCACACTCACAATATGGGGGGAAGCCATTCAGTTCTCTCAGAAACAACTTCCAACCGTGTCCCAGGGCCCTGCTGACGGCTCAGGGTCCTAGGGACCAGCCTCCAACGCGGCCCAGGACAAGCAGCAACAGCCAGGCTGGGCGTGCGTGTGGGTACGGCCACTCTGATGGCTCAGTCCACCCTCGAGGACTGCTGAGACATGGGCACAGCGAGGTGTCCCTGGGAGTGGTCAATGCAGCTCATTTATTAATGGTGAACCCCACAAGTGACGTAAATGTCTACGAACAGGTGAATGACAACACCATCCCAGGACAAAAACGCCCCCAGCCACATTTAGCAATAATGACGAATCTATATACATGATGCTCAGCAAAAAAAGAATACCATAGAAGGATTTGCTCAGCTGGATAGCAGTTACACAAAAACATATATATATATAAAACCACCATTTGAATAGCTTTGCGATCAAAAGAATCAAGCCAAAATATCAAAACGTGTCTGGAAACGATAATTACCACCTTCAGAAGAGCGCCCACCTTGTGGGAGGCAGGGAAAAGAAGGCCACCTGCAGGCCTTGGGGTGAGCAGGGTGGGTGAGGGGCTGAGTGGGTGTGCCCTACTTCCCACTGGCCTGAAACAGCCGTCAACCAGCCAGCAGGTCAGGGAGGGCTTTTGGGACGAGTGTGAGGCAGCCTCTTTCTCCTCTCCTCCTTCCTCCACCCAGAGCAGGCTCTGCCTCTGCCCGGGCTAGGCCCGCCCGTCGCAGGTGCACTGCTGCTGGGGTTTGAGGCCCTCACCTCGGAAGGAGCTCTGCCCTGCTGTCCCTTTGCCCAAGGTGCCCAGACAGCAGGGGGAGCACGGATCCAGGATCCAGGCAGGGTCACGGGCCAGCAGCAGCAGCCTGCTCCCGGGGGGCCACGTGGCACGCACCCCTGTGCCTCCCCACCCCCACCTGTCCTTGTGCTCGGGGGTGCCGGACGGAAGGCGGTCTGTGCCTCCAGCGGAGACCTGCCTGGCCCCGACTTGCTGCAGGACCTGGGGAGGCCTCGGGCACCTCAGACAGAGCGTGTGCCTCTCTCAGCTGCGGGGCTGCCGCTTTGAGATTAACCCAGGTACCAGAGGCAGCTCCTCCGAGGGTCTACACAGCCTGCCCAGAAGACAAGCCGATGGGTGTGGGGTCTGGGTCTGTAACTGCCACCAAGCGAACCTACCTGCTTTAGCACCACTTCCGGGTCATAGTTCATGACGGTGAAATGTTTCTCATAGTCGTCCAGGTCATCGAGTGCGAAGGGCCTGCAGGAGGAGCGCCCAGACACGGGAGGGTCCTGAGCATGGCCGCGTCCCAGTAGGGACAGTGCTCGAGAGACCCTGCTGGACGCCAGTGCCCCCATCGGAGTGAGGGGGTGGCCCTGCGGCCCCTCAGAGCTTAGCTCTGGGAAGACACCTGGATGGCCCATCACTGCCATCACGATCCGCAGCTGCTGGTGCCCCTTTGACAGTGACAAGCGCTGCTCACGCCCCCACCCGTGGCTGATGCAGGCTGGGTATGAGTTCCCGCCAGGGACCAGATCCGGGCTCAGCGGGACCACCCGCTGGGTGCGTGGTGGAGAAGGAGCTCCAGGACGGGCTTTCTGATCTCAAGATAAAGAGGGGCCCCGTCACCCCCCCGCCCCCCAGCCAGCCTCCCAATTACCGGTTGGAGAAGCGCAGCCAGAACACGTCATATACGAACAGCCTCAGGGGCTTCACCGACCGCAGAAGCACGACATAGCGGACATCGAACTTGACCGGCCCCACGTCTTCTCGAAGGAACAAGACAGGATTTTCGATGTATTTGGACACAACCTGGAGGACACAGATGCAGGGTTACAGGCGGCTCTCCCCTCTCCTTGGCCCGGAGGCACTTAACCTCACCCCATCTGCATCTATCCTCCCTGGTGACAGGCTCATGCCTGAGGGCCATCCAAACACAGTCACCACATCCTGGAGAAACAGGCACGCTCCTGCCCTGGCCCCCGGAGCCCTTCGCCCTGCACTTGGCTCCTTCCTTGGTCTTTTCAAACACTGTCTAGGCTGCAGCAAGTTCTGTATCTTCACCTTCACTTTGGCTGAAGGAAAAGATCCCATCAGTTTTTAGGTTTTGAAAACTGCATACAAGTTCTCAGCCGTAATCCCACCAACTCTTCCTCCGCTGCCTGGAATCCGCTCAGCAACCACCCCACTGGCACGCTTTCCCTGACCTCTGCCCAGGGGCTGTGTGTCTTACAACACCCCCACCCCCAACACCGCCCCTGACGTGCCCCATGTCACTACGGCACCGTCTAGGGGCTCCCTGGCCTGGCCGCCTCCCTCCTGCCGGACGGTCCTGCGTGGTGGAGTGGGGTCTCTGACATCAGACATACCTGGACAGCGCTCGACAAGGGCTCCCCCCGCTCCTGGACAGTTACACAGCCCTCCCCTGCTGGCCAGGACATTGGAAGGAGTCGGGGTCGGGGCTTCAGAGACACCTGTGAGCCGAGTGACCCCGCTCACTGCCAACACCAGGACCCACCCCCATAGGGCCCGACACCCGAGTCCCCTTTTGCCCCCCAGTCTCATCGACCAGCCTGTGTGCCCAGAGCCGTGAGGCCCACCTTGGGGGTGCTCTCGCGGTGCCGGATGATGCTGTGGAGGCTCCTGGTGATGTGGGTGTCCAGGCTGCGGGCCAGGTTCCAGGGTTTGCAGATCCAGTGGTTGTCCTGGCCCCTGAGAGCACATGCGGTCGGCTAGGCTGTGCCCTGTGCCCACCTTCCCGGGACCACGGCAGTCTTAGAAGAGGGGCACCCAACCTCTCCCAGGGAGTAGTGGGAGGTGTCACAGAGGGAACATTAGGGGCTGGACCCTGGGTACAAGGAAGAATTGCTCGAGCCCTGATGTGGAGACGTCCGTGGTGGTCCCAGCAGTGCCCTCTGCCCACGGCTTCCAGCGCTGCAGCTGGCACAAGTTAGTGCAAAGCTGAGGAGTGGGCCGGGTGGGGCGGGCCGGGCCGTGGGAGGGTGACAGGTGTAGGAGTCCCACCTTGCAGGGCTCCATGGTGAGGGGGGAGAGGGGGGCCCTTACCGCCTCTCCCGCTGCTGGAAGTAGCTAACAAACTGGGGTAACTCGGTGCGGAGATTGAAGGTGCGGGGCAGCCAGGCCGGGCCCTCGGGGCCCCCCGCCCGGCGCGCGATAGAGGCCAGGCAGTCCTTCACCGTCAGCAGGTTCTCGCAGGGGAACTGGTTCAGCAGCACGTTGGGCCTCTCCTGGCTGAGCGTCCTGCAGGGCCGAGGCAAGTGCACACGGCTACAGGGGCGGCGAGGGGCTCTGGGGCCAGTCCCTGGGCCCCCGGCCTGGTAGCGGGTACTCACCTGTAGTCCTTGAAGTGGGAGAAGTTGTAGAGAATGTCAGCATCCGCCTCGCTCTGGGTGAAGGTGAAGCGTGGGTGCGTGAGGTGGCTGAACACCAGCTGAATGTCTGTGTAGACCCTATAGGAAGAAGTCGGGCTGAGCTGGGCCCCCACCCGTGCTCGCCACACCCCTGGGACTCGGGTGCTCCCCACCCTGGGCTGATGTGAGAGAGGATGAGGCTGGGTATAAATTCCACTCTGCAGTCCTAGCTCAGGCCGAGGTTGGACAGCCCGGGTCAACCTCACCCTCTCTGCCTACCTGCTGAGTGTGGGGCAACTAGGACTCTCCTGACCCCAGGGTCCCCACCTCTAAGGTGGGATCACAGCCCAACTCACACTTGTCATTGGGGTAACACGGGATAACCTGAGTGTTTCACGGACGCAGGCTTATCTCCCACACAGGAAGGAAACAGGAAGGACTGATACAACCAGCCTCCCACGGACATGCAAAGAACTCTGCCCTCAGAGAAGGCAGCTGGTGTCCAGGTGCGTGCAGGGGAGTGTGTGGCCAAGACCAGTGCCCTGGATGTGGTCTCGTTCCACACCAGTGCTCGCTGCTGGCTGCCCTGCCCGGTCCTCGCTGGCCCCGGGGCAGAGGTGAGGACAGAGCCCAGAAGCCCATCTGCTGGGGGTGGCCGAGGCAGAAGAAGGTAGGAGGGTGGCCCAGTCCTGGACAGTGGTCCAGGGGAGGAGATGAAGTGGACTGCCAGGGGCAGGACTGTGAGCAGGAGGCCAAGACTAAGTGGGCCTCAGTGGGGCCTCTGACCCTGAGGAAGGACAGACTCTGGGCAGTGGGCCTGGGCACCAGGGAGGGCCCCCGGGCTGCCTGGGCTGGGGGGCTGGCCCAGGCTTGGGTAGCCAGAGAGAAGGACTCCCATGGAGGCAAAAGCCAGGCTGGGACCCGCCTCTGAGCCTGCTCCGCATTCAGAGGGCGCAGCACTGCACGCCCACCTCCTCACCTGTACAACGGGGCATCTGGTTCCACCTGGCATCCAGCCTGCCTGGCCTTACCTCAGCCGCCAGCCCCCAGCTGCAGACGCCCGGGAACGGCCCCTCCTAGCAGCCCAGCCGCTTCTGCTAGGTGCCCTGCGCATTCATGGTCGGCCCAGGCTTCCTGACCTCAGGAGCAGGCCTGGCTATGTTTTCACCCCAGGACCAGAGGGAACCCCCCCCCACCACAGCATTCTCTCTGTGATCCTAAGACTCTGCCCCTGGCTTCTGTCACTGCCATGCCATCAGGCAACGGCAGGCTTACTGAGCGCCTCCCTGTGCCGGGCACTGTTCTCAGAGCCCTGGGAACTCGGGGGGAGCAAGGAGGCTCATCATGAGCTGAGAAGGGGGCTACGCACTTGAAGACGTGGTCACAGGGATATGCCACCGGACTGATGGCAAGCGGCAGCTTTTCCTTGTTTTCCTCCAAAATGGCCTAGAAGGAAAGCACTGCAGGTAGAAACAGCTTCAAGACAGGGAGCAAGGGAACACCCACCTCCCCAGTCCTGGCGCATCAGGGGGCACCCCCAGGCCCCAGGTACAGCCTTCCAACAGGCACAGCAGTGGCCAGAGCCCTCGGACTACCCCGCCCTGGGACTCTGGGGCTCAAGGCCCCTCATGCTGAGCGACCCATTTGTGTCAAAAGGAGAATGTAAACACTGTTCTAAATCTCAACGCTCTCTCCAAATCACAGGCATCTGAGAAGGTGTCAAGCCTGTCCCGGGAGGGGGCTCGCCGGTCCTAGTGGAGCCCTGAAATGCTGTTCCAAGCGTAAGCCGTGTGGTGGTTTAAAACACACCAACGAACACTGTGACACTCCCTTCGAAAGGCATCTCCCCTTGGGTGTAGGCCGGACCGAAGGAGCTGCTTCTAAGGCACAGACTCAGGGGAGCAGGTGCGCTACTTCAGGGAAGGCCCTGCGGCTTTCTCCGTGCTTTCTCCCAGCTCACGGGCTCGAAGAGAAGTCTGCAGCCCTGCGGAGAGGCCACGTGGGTTAGAACTGAGGCCTCCTGCCGACATAGCCAGCACCACCTTGCCAGGCATGTGAGCGCACCAGGCAGAAGCCGATCCTCAGCCCCAGCAAGCCTCAGATGATGCGGTCCGGCTGACAGCCTGGCTACGCTTCGAGAGGGGCTCCGAGTCCAAAGCACCCCCATCTCCTGTTCCACAGAAAGTGGGTAAGATGATCAATGTTTGCTGTGTTAGGCTGCTGCCTTGGAGTCATTTCTTATCCCGTGATCGCTGACTCATACCGGCGATCCCCGGACCCAGAGCACAGGCCCGAGCGGGATGGGTCAGATGGGGAAAAGCAACCAGGATGCTACAGACAACTAGATTTGGCCTCAACTCCTCTTTCTGGACAGCAGAGGACGTCCCGAGGTAAAAAACAATAACTAACTTGAATTCCTGAGTGTAAATTCAGTCAGCTGTCCCAGCTCAGGCCCTCCCTGCCCTGTCTGCTAGAACCACTTCAAGATCAGGAACCCTTTGTCCCTAAGCCATTCTTAAGCCTTACTCCTTTGCAGTCACCCATTTACTAAGCAACTACTAGGTGCAACTACTCTACAAGGCTCTGAAACATGCCTTGGACTCAAAATGAGGGATGAGTTTCCTGCACGGATAGTTCAACCACCACTGGCTTAGATGGAATTCATGGCAAAGGGGCCAGGAGGACCCACCACTACGGCCCAGCCTCTCCCAAACCACAGCATTCACAGAACGGCTAACACCCCACGGCGCTTCCCATTCTCACTCGAGCTAACTTGTCCACTCCTTTCCACAGCCCTCCGAGGCACTCAGTGAATGTCTGATGTGCCCGTGTGGGCAGGGAAATTTCAACACGGTGGGGTAAGGCTTGCAGCCTCCGCCCACAGGCTGTCAGGCCCCCTGGTGTTGTGCCCCAGCTCGCCTACCAGCTCTGTGACCTTTGGCAAGTTACTTAACCTCTCTGTGGTTTCCCCATCCTCAGTAAAATAAAGACAGAAATAGGACCTCAAGTCCTTATGTTATAAAGGACTACCGTCAAGCATGCCCATAGGTGTTAACCACAGGCCTCACTCATGGCCTGGTTCCAAACCGGGACCAGCCACTGGGAAGCAGAAGTGGGAGATCAGAGGCAGAGGAGGGAGGAGGGGGGCCCGGGAGTGTTCCCTGTTCAGCCCTGCCTGGTCTGCCGTGACTGTGTTCCCAGAAGCTCTACCACCTCCCCTGCCCGGGGCCTCCCAAACCCTGGCTCCCTAATTTGCCAAGAGGCTGCCACAGATGAAAGTGCCTCTTTTGGCCAGAACAGCAACACTAACGATGACGCGACTTGCTGAGGGCCTACTGTGTGCCGGAGAATGCACCGTGCGATGCTTGAATAGCACCTTCACATCCCCGGTGAGGAGGAACAGTACCGCGTTGGGATTCATAACCAAGCCTCATGGCCCACACTGTGCCCCCCAGTCTTGGCAAAGAGTCCCCCAAAACAAGGAAGAGCAGCACTGACCACCAGCAACCCCAGCTCCAACCCTCCGACAGCATGGGTCCCGGCCTCAGGCCCTGGGGTCCAGGCTCGGCGTTGGCACCAGAGCTGGGCGGCCACTGGCGGCTCCTGCCCACTCCCTGAGCTCTGAGCCCCTTGTCTCTCAGATGCTCCCAAACTCTCTGCTCCCTCCTACAGTAGCCAGTTGGCATTGAGTAACACGTGGGGACTGAAGAACGTTCCAGAAGCCACCAGGCCAAAAGGCCCCAAGGTCGGAGGCAGACGGTCACACCTGATAGTGCTCATCTGGCGGCTCGGGCGTGGAGGAGCTGAAGTCCAGAAGGTCGGCAGGGACCCAGGGCAGCAGCATGCACTTCCGGATCAGAGGGTCAGCCTCCCCGTAGGCAAAGTCCCGGGTCACCTCCTCTGCATCAAGACACGTGGCCCATCAGGGGGCAGCAGGAAAGCAGGGCCTGGGCCCATCCTTCAGGGTGGGTGGTTGTGGCACTTACCGCCCGTGTCCAGGTCCCGCAGGGGCCACAGCAGCGTGTAGGCCACCTGCTGGGGCATGTAGAAGAAGGGTGCGGTGGCAAAGCTAGGTGTGTCCGAGTGCTGGATGCGCGAGCCGAACTCGTCCATGACGTACCACACCGGCACCTTCTCCTCGGCTGTCTGTGGGCAGAGCACACACAGCAACCCGGGTCCACCGGTCCATCTGCCTGCCCCTTTTGTCGTGCACCCTCCCATCCATCTACCCAAACAACGCCCCATCTATACCTAACTCTCAGAGCCTGGAGTGTCTACCACACGCATCCCAGTCCCCTTAACCTGGGGCCCCTGGGACCATCCTGGGCAGACCAGGACACAGACCAGCAGACTGCAGTGTGACTGCTTGTGTGGGACAGGTGCATGGACTAAGGCCCTCAGTCTAGCAGCTACGTGGATGTGTCTGGCAGGGGAGGGCGAGGGGGGCTCCCTGGAGGAGGTGACATCCAAGCTGAGACCACGAGAAACAACTTTGGTCTTCTCCCACACTAAAAGCGGCGAGGGGCTGGAGCCTGAGGGTGGGTCTTGGGAGGCTGGTAGGAGGGATGGTGATGGACACCGAGGACTTATGCTAAAGGGACACAGCTCTTCAGAGGCCAATGAGGAACCAGAGGGCTTTTGGGGGATGACAGAACATGAAGGCACCAGGAAACAGGCAGCCAGTCATGGGGCCCACATCTAGGGGTCTGAGAGAGGGTCGTGTCCCGTGAGCTCCAAGGCCCCCAGACACCCGAGTGCCCGGCACCGGCTGGCCCAAGGCGGAGTCACAGGCCCACGATGGAGCCACAGGGAATGAGGGGGCCCCAGGAGAGACGTCTGCTCACTTCTGGGGGGAAAGGCCCCTGGGACTGGGTCCTGGCTCCCCTGGGCTGCCGCCGCTCACCCCGTGGGCCAGCTGGTAGGTCTGGTTGAACCGCCACATCTCCTCCAGCACCAGGTCCTCGGCCTCGGCGCTGGGCAGCTCGCCGTGGAACTCGATGCCCATCAGGCTGGCCATGCGGTGCAAGAGCCCGGGCACCTGCTGTAGCTGCTGGCGTGCGCGCTCCACACGGCACGTCCAGGCGTGGTCGATGAGGAAGATGCTGCCAACACAGGCCCAGAGCGGGTGTGAGGGGCCCTCAGGGGCTCTGCCCCAGGAGACGCGGGGGCGGGGGGAGAGGGGGCCTGTCACTGCAGCCTGGGGAGCTTCCTCTCTTCCAGTGTCTGCAAAAACCAATGGGGTCGGGCGCCTGGGTGGCTCAGTCGGTTGGGCGACTGCCTTCGGCTCAGGTCATGATCCTGGAGTTCCGGGATCGAGTCCCGCATCGGGCTCCCTGCTCAGCGGGGGGGGGGTCTGCTTCTCCCTCTGACCCTCCCCCCTCTCATGCTCTCTCTCTCATTCTCTCTCAAATAAATAAATAAAATCTTAAAAAAAAAAGAAACAAAACCAACGGGGTCCCTACCTCCTGTCGGGGGGCCGGTACGAGCATGAGAGAGGACAAAACATACAATGTGCTGACTGCACACACCAAGTCCTTGTGTTCTTGGTGATAATCACCATCCATCACTGTCACAGTAAGTGCTTTCAACTGCATTTGGACCTGCTGGGCCGGCCCACGCTCCCACCTCGCTATTGCAGGCCCGGCATGCGCTCGGCAAAAGCAAAGGTTAAGACAGCGGGAAGCCAGCAGCAGGGAGAAGCACAAGGAGCTGGCACTGGGGGCTCACTCATGCAGGCCTGGGACTTCGGGGCACTTCCTGGGACACAGCAAGGCCTTTGTGGGAGAGGCTGCAAGTCCCTGCGCATTTGGACCCCTGCGGCCCACATGCCCAGTCCCCCTGGAAGAGCCCGGGGGTGGGGCCACCACAGAGGACCAGGCAGGCACCTGCCCTCCCGCCCCCCCGGGCAGGGCTGCTGGGACACCTTCCAGAGCCCCGCTGGAACAGGAGGCTCCGGACACCCAGGGGTGTGGTTCGCCTGCTGGGCAAAGCGGCCGTCACCTCCGTTCCCCTGGGCATCAGCAAATGCTCCAGGTCTTGGGCTGGGTGGCTAAGTTAGCAGTGTTTATTCCACTGTGCTTCTAGTGCTGTACGTCTGCATACTCAAAACCAATGCAGATTTATTCCTGCCCTTGTGCTTAGAGGTTATGACCACGGGAGGCCGGGATGCCTTGCACACAGCCGAGCTTCAAGGCGGGACACCTGGGCGTGACCCTGGACAAATGCTCACGAGCGGTGCTGTACACAGCAGGTGTGGAGAGAGGATGAAGTTGGGGTCTGGCAATCAGGGCAGACTCAGAGCTCTACAGGGAGAAAGGCCCGGGGGGAAATGAAAGCAATGCCCGGGGCTCCAAACACAGGACTCCACCCGCATCCCGTCCTGTGCCCGCCTGGTGGAGGGCTACGCCTGAAGGCTGCAGAGGGGCAGTGAGCTCCTTGAGGTGGCTGCTGGGCCTGCGGCCCCAGAGCAGGGGCACCGAGCTGACGGTGTGAGGTGAGCCTACAAGTTTCGGAGAAGAGAGCACGTGGGTGGAGGCGGCTGCCTGGCTACCTGTGTGGCCACTCCCACCCCCTCACAGGGTGCTCTGCACAAGAGGCCGGCCAGTTTCTTCCTCAAGGGTCCCACAAAGTTTGGCAGATGGGCCTGCAGCTCCTCTTGGCCCCTATGAGGCAGGAATCCCAGGGTCCAGTCTTAGCTCTGCCCCGTCTACCCTGTGGCCCCGGTGTCCTCCCCTGAGGAATTAAGCAGACCACACTGCTCACAGGCCGGGCATAAAGCCCTGGGAGAACCTGTCATAGTTTTCAGAGCCTGGGATTCAGTAGGACCGGGGTAGGTCCTCAGGACAGCCCGGGCTAACTGACGCGCCACACCCGGGCTCTCAGCCAGCCGTGTGACTTTGGGCAGGTCCTCCTTGTCTCATCGGCAAAGTCGGAACGCATCACCCCTCTGCTGTGGGACCCCAGTGATGGTTGGGAGAGGTGTGGGGAGGCTGCTCTCAGGTCTGTCTGAAACATGACTCACGCGGGAGCGTCATCGGTATCGGTATTAGGGCCAACCGGACCGTGGGGCCCAGCTGGAACCTCTGGTGGCCACGAGCGCCTCTCACAAGGGGCTAAGGGACCGGTGCTCGGGACACAGCAAACACGAGGGCCTGCCACGGCTGCTTCTCCCCAGAGGGGCCATCCCTGGCGCAATCTAACAGGGAGCCCACCCTGAGGACCACGGTATGGAACTCGGGTGTCGGGCCTGCAGCTCCTACCTGTTGGGGTCGGCCGCCTGGAGCCCGTTCTCGCTGGTCACGATGACCTTGTAGCAGAGCTCGCCGCCGGGGTTGGGCTGCTTCTTCCTCGCTTCCCGGGCCTCCTCGCCCTCACTCTCCTCCTCCACTTCCTGCACTTGCATTATCCCGAACATCTCCCCGGCATCGAAAACCTGGGGCCACAGCAGGGGTGTTGGCAGGCTCCCGGGGGGCCTGAACCCCAGCCCCAAGGAGCGCCACACCCTGGCCTCAAGGGCCAACGAAACCCCTCAGGGGAGGCAGGACCTATTTAGTACCCAACTACCCATCTTACAGGTGGGGAAACTGAGGCTCCTAGAGATCAGCCAGAACTGCAACCTAACTACGGTCACCAGCTATTGTCCAAAGTCCAGCAGCCCAGGGGGCCTACGCTTAGAAGTGGGGCTGCAGGCATGTGGTGGAGTCCAATCTAGCCTAACTCTGGTCAGGTCAGAGGTGAATCTGGAGGTTGGGATCAACTCCAATTTCACAGGAACAGCCAATCCTACACCAGGGCAGCAACTGAGGCGCCCCAGAAAGAAGGCAGGTGGCCAAGAGCCTCCCACAGCCGCCACGCCAGCCAGGCCAAGAAGCGGTTCGAGCCTGCACAACGCATGCTCTGTGGCTGGTCTCAAGTGCTGGGTAAGGGCCTTGGTCCTTGAGTTTCCTTGCCAACCACATGCAGCTGGTGAAGACGAGCCAGCATGCCCCCCTCATGCACCACGTGTCCGCCACCAGTTGGCAGGGGGCCTTAGGGCAGATGCTGGAGCCAGGCGGTGGGGCCTTGGACCGGTCACTGAACCACGCTGTGCCTCAGTTTCCCCATCCCTACAATGGGAACAGCAGAACCGACCTCAGAGGGTGTGGGAAGGATGAAATGATTAACAGATATCAAAAGCTTGGAAGAACCTAAGCTCGGCAAATGCCGTGTAAGCACCTGCCAGCACCATTATGCTTCTGAGACTAGCCTCTCCCCGGGGAAGAAGGCATCCTCCACCTTCCAGGAGAGCAGAGTGTAAATCAATAAAACAGCGCATAGAAAGTCCCTGGCACGAGCAGGGACAACAAAAGCCAGTTCCCCAAAACCCACTTCTCAGGACCCCAACAGAGATGCAAACCAGCCCCCTATGCAGGCACACGCAGCTTTTTTGTGCCAGGCAGGAGGGCTCTCCGGGGTATGAGGGCGAACTGCTCATGATCTTGCCTAGGGAGCAGGCAGCCGAGCAGCAGTGGAGTAAGGTGGGGCCATGTGGGAGGCCCAGGTCAATGGCGCTGGGGCCTGATGGGAGGTGAGTGTTAAAGCGGGGGAAGATCTGAACATGTGGCTGGGGGTGGCAGTACAAGGACCCCAGGTAGGGGCACAGAAGCTATGGAACAGGTGGAGCATGCCAGGGTCCTTGGAAGACAAGGGGAGCCGCCTCAAGCAGGATTCCCTAAGCAGTCAGAGCTGGGGTGGGAGGGGGTTGGGGTGCTACCTCCCCTCCAGGACAGAGCTGCTCAGAGGACTGGAATTCACACCCTGGGTTTCAACCCAGAACCCAAATCCCCAAATCATATGGAGGGAGGGGGCACAGTGGGGTAGCCTAAGGCCTGGGGATAGAGGGCCTGCCTTCCCCCAGCTGTGAAATGAGGGTGACCACAATGCCTTCATGGACGGACTGGAAAAGCCCCTAAGGAGGTAACGAAGGGAAGTGGTTTTACAGCTGGGAAGTTCCTGCCGGCAGGGAGAGGTGGAATTTATTTTAAAACACTCCCCATCCTTTCCAATGAAACTGATCTGAGGCAAGGCACCAGGGTCATTGGCCTTGCGGGGAGTTGGGAGGGGCCCCATTCCTGTTGGCAGGTGCCCTCCCCCACACCTGGGCCCAGAGCAGCAGTGGCAGGTTTCACTGGGAACAATGGATGTAGGTTTTGGGTCTAGTAAAGTGATGACTCACAGCTCTGCCCATAACCCCTAACGGCAAGGGAAGCTCATGGAAAAATACTGGCGGCCCCCTGGTAGAGCTACAGAAGCCAAGGCAGAGGGGACGCTACATCCTGGTGACTGCTCACCATGTGCCGGCCCTGGCTGATGTCACGTAGGCCTCCCCACCCAATCCCCACTATGACAGTGGGAGCTGGGGCCCTGTTCCACCATCGGGCTTTCCAGATGGAAGACTCCAGCTCAAACGGACCAGTGTTGCCCGAATGAGGGTTTCCTGCCTACGGAGGCTGGCTGGGCTAGGGCCAGGGCGTTCCCACATCATGTGCCTTTCACCCAGAATGAGGAGAACCTTCTTATCCTAACAAACTGGGGGAGGGGGTCCCCAGCACATGCCTGGGACCAGAGCCAAGGGCTCAGGAAACACTGGTGGAAGGGAGGGCAAGTCATATGGAGAAGGAAATTCACAAGAGGTAGGGATGTAGTGTCACTGAAATGTCTTTTTTTATAGTAACTATGTGTTTGGAGCAGGAGGGGATTTGGTGAACCCGGATTTAACACAGAAAACCTGGCTGAGAAGGTGCGGTCCGTCGAGCGGCTAGGCTTGGGTGACTACCTCTTCCTGGCTCTGGGGCTCCACTCCATCACCTGCCCTGGTCTGTCTTGGCCCTGGGGGCAGCCCCCCTACCCAAGAAGAGCCTTTTTCCAGTTAACTAAGAAGGCCCCTCTAACTGGCCTGTGAATGTGCTCTGGCTTCAGCACCTGGGCAAACGACCCAAAACCTGGGCCCACTCATCAGCGAGCACCCGTGGGGAGCCCCACTGGAGACCCAGGCTAGAGAAGGCTGGTGGGCAGAAGGGAGCCGTCCCCACAAAAGGGCAGAGAATCTAGAAGCATGTAAACCTTTTTCTTTAGATCGTTTCCGTCTCCCACAACCTCTTTCCTTTCACCTGCAAAATGAGGGTGACCAGGGCTCAAATCAAATGATGACACAAGAAAGAATTCTGACTCGAACAGCTAAAGCCACACAAACTCATGGGACATCTACTCTCCCTGGAGGAGGCAGTGGCTGAGAGCAAGGGACAGGTTCCCAAGTCTGACAAACTTTGGGAGACTCAGCTGCTCTTCCTGTGACTCACTTTTTTCAACCGCATAATGGGGATGCTAAATCTGTGGGGCTCAGATGCGTGGATAACTCAGTACAGGTCCCGACACACAACAGGAACCGCACACACAGCCCCGGCCCAGCCCCAGGCACTGGTAGAATCGGGGCCACAGGTACTGGGCTCTTGCTGCCACTTAGGCCCCGAACTCTAAAAGCTCCTGAACCGCCAAGGAGGCGACGTCCAAGTCGGTCATCATGGCCTTCGTGCGCTTCATCAGCAATCCTCTGTCCGTTTCTCCCGCCGCGTCCACGCCGCGCCCCAACACGGACACACCCCCAGCGCGTCTCCCCCAGGCCTGCCCACCGCGGCAGAGGCTTCTCCCGCCCCGGGACGCGCTTTCTCTACTTCTCCCCCAGACACACTCCCAACCCGTGAGCCCGCGTCCTCCGGGGCGCCGCCAGCCTCCCCCCAGAGCGCACCTGGTCCGGCCTCCCCGCGATGCAGCCCGGCGGCTCGCGGCCAGAGGCCCGCCCGCAGCCACACCCTTCCCGGTAGAAGGGCCCAGCGCCGTCCGCGCCCCAGCTTTCCCGGCCCCGCTCTGCACCCCGGTCGTCCCTGCCGGCGCCTCGCCCTCCCGCGTCGCCCTAGCCCGCACCTCGTGCTCCAACTTGTGCAGGAGGCGGCCCCAGTACCGCTCGGGGACCCCGGACGCGCGCAGCGCCAGGCCGTGCAGCGCCGCGAACTCTGCCCGGGCGCGCGCGTCCTCCTCCGCAGTCAGGCCCGGGTCGCCGCGCTCGGCGGGCGGGCTCTCCGACCCCGCGCCGGCGTCCATGGCGCCCACACCAGCGCCAGCGCCGAGTCCCACTCCGCCGCCGCCCGCAGGCCCGGCGCTCCCGACGCGGCCCGCCCGCGCCCGCCCTCCCCGCGGCCCCCGCCCACCGTCCGCCCGCCCGGCGCCGTATCGCGCGAGCCGCCGGGAGCCTAGCTCCGGGAGCCGGACCGGAGCCCGGAGGCCCGGCCGGCCGAGGGACGCGTGCGCAAGTGCGTGAACGCGCGGGCGTGCGCGGGCGTGCGCGGGCGTGCGGCGCGCTGGGGGCTTGGCGCCGCTGGCGTGTGCGCACGCGCGCCGGCTGGGGGCGGCGTTTTCTCTCTCGCGCCGCGGCTTCCCGGGGGACGCCGGGAGCGAGGCTGTGCGGCGTCCACGCTGTCGGAAGCGGAGGGTACTCCACACACCGTCTGGAAAAGGAGCCTGAGGCTCGGAGATCGGGTTGTTCCCGGCGTGGACTCACCTTTGACGCCTTGCAGACCCCGGGGTGGGAGGGGATCTCTGATTCTTTTGAACGATTTAGGTGCTGCAGAGTAGTGGCCCTTCTCAATTTCTGTACATTTGGGTTCAAGATGTAAATTTACTCAGTTAAGCCCGGTGGTGTTTCTTATACGTGGAGGTATCGCAAAGGTATTTCCAAGTGCGATTGGCAGAATTTCAAAAATCATGCTTTGAACGTTCTATTTTTTCAAGGTCTTCCGCGTTTCATCGTCGTGTTTGCAACTGTGCAATCGTAATCTGCTAAAAAGCGCAAAGGCTGATTTTCTTTTTTAGGTGCTTCCGTTACCGAATACTTTGATTAAGTTTTAAATTGTGCTTGGATAAAATGCACGGGTTCCGGGGACTTGTTCAGTGCCACTGGGACACATAACGTTGTTATGCGAAGGTTCACACTGCCAAAGCGCAGTTGGTGAGGGGCACAGGGAAAAAGTCCCTGCCATGCTCAAGTACTTTTTTGTATCTACCATCAGCTTTGTCACGGAAATTTCGTAGTTCAGTTACTCTAATTATGAAAAAAATGTGAATTTTGACGACTATGATTTCTAATTCAATTGATATAATTTACAACTTGTTTGGATGAAATTATTAACCACATCCAATTCCAAGTACATTTCTGCTCCCTGGGGTTCTTTTTTTTTTTTTTAATTTGCGAGAGAGAGAATGAGAGACAGAGAGCATGAGAGGGAGGAGGTTCAGAGGGAGAAGCAGACTCCCTGCCAAGCAGGGAGCCTGACGTGGGACTCGATCCCGGGACTCCAGGATCATGACCTGAGCCGAAGGCAGTCGCTTAACCAACTGAGCCATTCAGGCGCCCCTCTTTTTTTTTTTTTTTAAAGATTTTATTTATTTGACAGAGAGACAGCGAGAGAGGGAACACAAGCAGGGGGAGTGGGAGCGGGAGAAGCAGGCTTCCTGTCGAGCAGGGAGCCCGATGCGGGGCTCGATCCCAGGACCCTGAGATCACGACCCGAGCCGAAGGCAGACGCTTAACGACTGAGCCACCCAGGCGCCCCCTCCCTGGGGTTCTTAATTTAGTAAGAACCTTGGTCCCTTTTTGCTGAGTCCATTGAACTTTATTATTTTTTTTAAAGATTTTATTTATTTGACAGAGAGAGACAGCGAGAGGGAACACAAGCAGGGGGAGGGGGAGAGGGAGAAGCAGACTCCTTCCTGCTGGGCAGGGAGCCGGATGTGGGAAGGACCCTGGGATCATGACCTGAGCCAAAGGTAGATGCTTAATGACTGAGCCACCCAGGCGCCCCCCCCACTGAACTTTATATGAGTATTATCCTTGCAAAAAAAATGCCTTTGGTGTTCAAATTTTTAACTGAATTTAGCTGAGTGGTATTTTTTTTTTTTTTTTAAGATTTTATTTATTTGAGAGACAGAGCACAAGCAGGTGGAGGGCAGAGGGAGAGGGAGAAGCAGACTCCACACTGAGCAGGGAGCCCAACGTGGGGCTGGATCCCAGGACTCCAGGATCATGACCTGAGTCGAAGGCAGACACTTAACCAACTGAGCCACCCAGGCGCGCTTAGCTGAGTGGAATTCACAATAAGGTTGGTTTTTTACTTTGTGATGTGATGTGGGCTGGGAGTGAATGGTCAAGAAAGAATTCTTGAGATGTTTTCAGTGCAAAAAGGTGTTTTTATTAAAGCATGGGGATTACCCGTGGGCAGAAGGAGCTGTACTGGGGTTGTGAGGAGCAATTGATTATATACTTTTAAGTTGGGAGGGGAGTTGAAATAAAGGAAGTTTCCATTTCTTTTGCCTTTGTTCTCATCACTTTGGATAGATTTCCAAAAGTTTAATATTGATTCCATTAATTGGATGAAAAAAAAAAAAGAACCATCTCACAACTTTGATACACATTGGCCTCCTCTGTGGAACAGGCCCTCAGCCACTAGAACCAACACACTCACAGTGATGGCTTTGCTTTTCCATAGGAGGACAAGAAAACTGGGAATTAGAAAAATGAGTCCGGGGCGCCTGCGTGGCTCAGCCGGTTAAGCAGCTGCTTTCGGCTCCAGTCATGGTCTCGGGGTCCTGGGATCGAGCCCCACTTCCGGCTTCCTGCTCGGTGGGGAGTCTGCTTCTCCTTCTCCCCCTCCCCCTGCTCATGCTCTCTGTCTCTCAAATAAAGAAAATCTTAATAAAAAATTTTAGAAAAATGAGTGAAATGAGTGTAGAAAAAGTCATTTGATCTAAACGAAGTCAATGACTTAAGGAGTGACATGTCAACTCACTTCTGCAGCTGCACGTGTTAACCCATTTCTGGACGCAGCCTTTGAAAATACTAACTTTTGAAATAGATGTGATGCTTCTGAGTCAGAATTGTGTCGTCTGGTGTGACTTGTGGTTCGTGACACCTCTTCAGCCCCCATGGTAGAAGGTCAAAGCCAACAAATATCTTGTGGAAATTTCCAATTTCATAATCGACTTTGAGAAATGGAGATTCAGAACTGAATTTTATTTTTTATTTTATTTTTTTTTAAAGATTTATTTATTTATTTGAGAGAGAGAGAATGAGAGAGAGCAAGCACATGAGAGGGGGGAGGGTCAGAGGGAGAAGCAGACTCCCTGCCGAGCAGGGAGCCCGATGCGGGACTCGATCCCGGGACTCCAGGATCATGACCTGAGCCAAAGGCAGTCGCTTAACCAGCTGAGCCACCCAGGCGCCCCAGAACTGAATTTTAAATAAAATGTGGACTCCACTTTTGTAAGTGACTTGCTCCAGAAAAGATGTATTGCCCAGTAAGAACAAAATACAAATAAAAAACTTCTACCATACAAGGGCCAATCTACTGCAGCAAGTGTTCAGACTTGTCTGCATAGCCCAGAGCAGGACCATTCAGCCTCTGTTTCCCACACACATCTCGTGTATACCTACCCTGTAATTGTCCCCAAGGCCTCATGTACCTTGCAGGCTATAGAATAGTGCACAAATCAGGTGGTAGGTAGACAGGGGTGGCGGTACCTCACTGAGAAGATTTAGTACGTAAGGATATTATATCGTAACTCGGTAAGAATTATTATCTACTTCACTGATTTGATCATCATAACAACTATGTGATATTATTTATCATGTATTATAGTCCTCTGCCTATGTAGATAGCATATGTCAAACTTACAATAATTATTTTATTATGAGCAACCATATGTTGCACTAGCTGAAAACCTACTTGTCCTCTCTGACACCTCCATCTTCCTCTCCTCTATATCAGTCTGGGGTTTATCCGCTCCAAGGGACAGTAAATCCAACTGGGACTGGCTTAAGGATAAAGGGTAGTTACTGGCTCACACCATGTTATGGACTGAACGTTTGTATCTCCCCAAATTCATATGTTGAAGTCCTAACCCCACAGTGAGACCATATTTGGAGAAAGGGCCTGTGAGGAGGTGATAAAAGTTAAATGAGGTCATAGGAGTGGTGTCCTAATCCGATAAGGCTGATGCCCTTACAAGAAAAGAAATGGATATCAGAACACCGTCTCTGCCAAGTGAGGACACAGCGAGAAGCCAGGAAGAGAACTCTCACTAAGAACCAAATGAGCTGGCCCCTTGATCTTGGACTTTCCAGCCTCCAGAAAATAAATTCCTGTAGTTTAAGCTATGTGGTCTATGGCATTTTGTTATGGCAGCCAGAACTACTACTAAGATGGGCGTTCATGTGGGCTTCAGGTCTGGCTTGATCAAGGGGCACACAAGCATCACAAGGATCCAGCTCTGCTCTTGTGTGCATTGGTTTTCCTCTCTGATAGGCTGTCCCCTTGGAGTCATAAAATAGCTGCAACAGCCCTGGTGTGCTTCCTCTCAGAGGTCACTCCCACTGGGAAAGGGATTCTGAGTGTCTGTTTCTTTTGTAAAATGATTGGGTCCTATGAACATCCCTGACCCATCCCTCTGACAGGGCAGGCCTGTTCTGCATTCTCTTCCCCAAATGCAAACCCAATGGTATCAGGTCTCTACTTGAAATCTCGCATTGGGAGATCTTGAAATCTCCCAGTGCCCAGGAGTAAAAGCTCAGCCCTTCTTGGGGCCTCCAAGGGCCTGCTGGCCTCTCCAACCTCCTCTTAGTATATCCTCTCTCCCTCTTTGAGTCCTGCCACTTGGCCATCTCCAGCCCTTGCAGGGGGTCACGCAGGCTCTGTCTCAGGGGTTGTGCTGTTCCTTCTGCCTGGCAGCCCTTGCCCTCTGCTCCCCTCCTTAATTCCAACTCATTTTTTGGGGTCTCAGCTGAGGTGGTGCCCCCTTAAGGAGCCACTGAATGTGCAATTTGATCAACATCAACTCCTGTCTCTGCTTCTTCATGTGTTCTTCTGTGTTCTTCATACACCCTGGAGCCTAAACCCAACTTCACCTGTTGCTCAACCCAGGAGGCACCGGTCGGCTTCCAAGCGGGGGAGAGAGCTGCAGGCTGGTCTCCAGCCTGGCAGCTTCCTAAGGAAATGTGTTCAAACCCACGCTTTCCCTTTGCTATCCTCTAAAATACTGAATGCGCCTACCATGAGAGCTACGTGGTCAAGCAAGAACAGTGCTGCCCATTTCCCCATCATAGTCCCTTCCATCTCCTG